TTCAAGGAGACTATCATAGAATGAGAGAGGAGTTGCAAATTATCGTCTGGAGGGAGTTAATATGGAAGATGTTGGTCCAGAAAACTTCTTCAGAAGGTCATATTTATTTATTTATATATACAAGAGTTCTTACACTCCTACACAGAGGTGTTGTTGAGAGGCGGGACCAAAGAGCCAAAGCTCAACCCCCGCAAGCACAATTAGGTGAGTACAGCCCCCAGCACGCGTAGCGTTACGGGCAAGTCCTTAATCATATGGTCCCCGGAATACGACCCGCCAAATCATTTTAACAACCAGATACTCATTTTACTGTTGGGTAAACAGAGGCTAAAGTTAAGGATTGACGCTCAGTAAATCCTCCCCGACCAGGATACGAACCCAGGGCAAAACGCTTGTGAAACGCCAGACGAGTGTCATACCACTACTCCACTTATCGGTACTATAACTTGCTCATGTGTCTCTATAACATTTTTAATTTACCGCCCACAGGATGGGTATGGGGTCCACTACCGCCCATATGATGGGTATGGGGTCCACTACCGCCCATATGATGGGTATGGGGTCCACTACCGCCCACATGATGGGTATGGGGTCCACTACCGCCCACACGATGGGTATGGGGACCACTACCTCTCACAGGATGGGTATGGGGTCCACTACCGCTCACAGGATGGGTATGGGGACCACTACCTCTCACAGGATGGGTATGGGGTCCACTACCGCTCACAGGATGGGTATGGGGACCACTACCTCTCACAGGATGGGTATGGGGTCCACTACCGCTCACAGGATGGGTATGGGCACCACTACCGCCCCCATGATGGGTATGGGGTCCAATACCGCCCACATGATGGATATGGGGTCAACTACCCCCCACACGATGGGTATGGGGTCCACTACCGCCCACAGAATGGGTGTGGGGTCCACTACCGCCCACAGGATGGGTGTGGGGTCCACTGCCGCCCACAGTATGAGTATGGGGTCCACTACCGCCCACAGGATGAATATGGGGTCCACTACCGCCCACAGGATGGGTATGGGGTTCACTACCGCCCACAGTTTGAGTATGGGGTCCACTACCGCCCACAGGATGGGTGTGGGGTCAACTACCGCCCACGCGATGGGTATGGGGTCCACTACCGCCCACAGTTTGAGTATGGGGTCCACTACCGCCCACAGTATGAGTATGGGGTCCACTACCGCCCACAGTATGAGTATGGGGTCCACTACCGCCCACAGGATGGGTATGGGGTTCACTACCGCCCACAGTTTGAGTATGGGGTCCACTACCGCCCACAGTATGAGTATGGGGTCCACTACCGCCCACAGGATGGGTGTGGGGTCAACTACCGCCCACGCGATGGGTATGGGGTCCACTACCGCCCACTGGATGAATATGGGGTCCACTACCGCCCACAGGATGGGTATGGGGTTCACTACCGCCCACAGTTTGAGTATGGGGTCCACTACCACCCACAGGAGAAGTATGGGGTCCACTACCACCCACAGGAGAAGTATGGGGTCCACTACCACCCACAGGAGAAGTATGGGGTCCACTACCGCCCACAGGAGAAGTATGGGGTCCACTACCGCCCACAGGAGAAGTATGGGGTCCACTACCGCCCACAGGAGAAGTATGGGGTCCACTACCGCCCACAGGAGAAGTATGGGGTCCACTACCACCCACAGGAGAAGTATGGGGTCCACTACCGCCCACAGGAGAAGTATGGGGTCCACTACCGCCCATGGTCCAAGTAAGGACAGTAGACAGTAGAACTTCTGGTTACAATTATTTTACCATGTCGTAGCGCAGTCGATTAAGGCAGCGTCTGGGATGCTCTCGGACGTAATTTCGAACCCTCATCACGGCCCTTGTGGATTTGTTCTTAACTACCAAATTAACAACATTACCTTGCGGCAAAGTGATGAAGATAAGGACCTCGGAGTCAGAATCTGTCATTCACTGAAAGTTACACACGTGAACAGTAAAAGTGCCAAGCCCTAGGAAAACACTACAAACCAGACATGACACGGCTAATTTCATCGAAACTTTTAAAATATTGAACAGTTTGGAGGATACTGACCCATGCAATTTCTTCAAAAGGTCAGATGTAACACAAACAAGGAGCAAAGGTTTCAAGTTCAACAAACCACAATGTAGGACTGAGAACAGGAGTTGCTTTTTCACCCACAGGGTCATAAAAATCCCAAACTCTGTTAAATTTTAAAATCCAGTTAGAAAACATCCTCAGGACAAATGGGGAGATCTTTGGCAAGCTGCTGGCGTCTTGTCCTCATCATAGCCATTAGTGTTAGTGGCTCTCAGGTAAATTCAGGTAAATAATCAAGTCCTCCGCCTGGAAAATTGGTGCTGTTAAATGGGTTTGTACCAAAACCTGTCATTCTGAGTTTTTTTTCTGAGGTATTTTACAAACATTGAACCATTTGTTTCGTTTATCAGCCCCTAAATTTTTCTTCAAAATAAATTTAAAAAATGGTATCTGCCCGAAACGGTATATGCGTGTTAGTTACTTTGCGTGAAAGTAAAATACCAGTCTTATGTAATCTCACCAACCCATATGTACCTTCTTGCAAATAGAAATTATTATTATTATTGTTGTTATTATTATTATTATTATTATTATTATTATTATTATTATTATTATTATTATTATTATAAATTAATTTGACATGCGTTGAAGTCACCCATTATGATGACTTCATTATAATAAAAAGTCGTTTCAGAGTCACGTTGATTTGGAGAAGAGATGTCTCCATCATTCTGTCGCACCTCACATAGGTGTTGCAGGGGAAGGAAGAGCCAGTCTCTGTGGACATCTGAAACTTCTGATAATAGCTAGCGTCTTTACTCTTATGATTTTGAATACAGTGTGTTTACAAACTAGATCCCATTGACATATGTCAGTATGCCTGGGGGAGGTATAAAAAGTATGGGGGGGGGGTATAAGATACCCCAGGGGGTCTAGGTGGTGTCTTGCTTAAGGTGCAAGATGTATGTGGTTCTTGCAGGCGCACCCCATCAGAACCATCGTTACAAACATACATGAGAATATATGCGTCTCTTGCGCACACTACGCACATCCCAAGACAGGAATGTGAAGGTCGTTGTTGTGCTAGTCATGTTGGCCATTCTGCTTCTGAGTTCGGTCTCTGACTACAAGTGTGAGACTGAATAACTGGCTCCACACATACAGAAGTAGTTGCACTACAACTTGCCACTAACGCACTGAAGAACAGTGCAGGAGTAATTTTCTGTGATTCAAAGGCAGCTTTTCAAACACTTAAAAACCCAACTTACAAAATAGATACTAGGAACGTTGTAACATCCATTATAAACAACATTACTAATGCAAAGATAAAAAAGTTTCAGCGTCTCATTTGTATGGATACCATCTCACATAGATGTTGTCCAGCATGATGACACAAAGAACAGCTAAAACTACATGTGATAAGCCTGAAATTGAGTTAGACCTGGGCATTCCAATCTCTCTTGTAAAAGCGGTAGTATTTCAGGAAATCAGGGATGACAGAAATGCAGTCACTGACATTCAAATGCCAGAAAGCACGAATATAAGAGCTATGATAGGTTTAGAACTGAGAATTATATGTATGGACGGCACAAAACATCCACTAGATTTAGACTTTGTAAATTACCAGAATTAGGCTAGGATATCGATATCCATGGCAGGAAGCTGCAGGTTCTCCAATGGTGAACATTTCAATTGTAAACTATGTGAACAAGAGCTGGAACATTCTCTCCAACACTATATCTAGGATTGCCTTGTTAGTAATGATTTCAGACCAAATAATTTGAGGTACTTTGAGCTCTGTAACTACTTCATTCACTCACGAACAGTGGAAGATATTCTTGTGCTCTTCACAAAGTTTGCTAGCGGAGGCTAATAGGAGACCTGACATTTCATGGGCTCTTCTGCATTCCATGTATGACTAATCATCCTGTGAGATGGGGGATATTAGATGAACTTTTTGTTCTAAGAGTTTATCGTATTATCGGCAGCAAACAAAAGGTCTTTATTGTTTCATCTCGTATTCTTCCAGACATCTTGCATATATTACTGTTATTATTATTATTTTTAAGGGTCCTAGCAGTACAGTCAGTTTCGTTCTCGACTTACAATCAAGAATTCTGGGTTCAATTTCCGGTCGGGACATAAATGGTTGGGTGCATTTCCTATCACCTAATGCTCCTGTTTACCTGGCAGTAAATAGGTACCCAGGAGTTAGTCAACTTCACAGTCTCCGTGGTGTAGTGGTAAGACACTCGCCTGGCGTTCTGCGAGCGCTATGTCATGGGTTCGTATCCTGGCCGGGGAGGATTTACTGGGCGCAATTCCTTAACTGTAGCCTCTGTTTAACGCAACAGTAAAATGTGTACTTGGATGAAAAAACAATTCTTCGCGGCGGGGGATCGTATTCCAGGGACCATAGGATTAAGGACTTGCCCGAAACGCTACGCGTACTAGTGGCTGTACAAGAATGTAACAACTCTTGTATATATCTAAAAAAAAAAAAAAAAAAAAAAAAAACTTGTTGTGGGGGTTTCATCATGGGAAGGATCAGTAGCTCGACCCTGGTGGGGCCTTAATATAAGTTTTTTTAGGTTTAGTTCATTTATTATGCATCCCATACCCATAAGCCTAACATGCACATGTACTCAGGCTTCCTGTTCTCCGAGTCCAACCACTTGGGCTGGACGGTAGAGCGACGGTCTCGCTTCATGCAGGTCGGCGTTCAATCCCCGACCGTCCAAGTGGTTAGGCATAATTCCTTCCCTCCGTCCCATCCCAAATCCTTATCCTGACCCATTCCAAGTGCTATATAGTTGTAATGGCTTGGAGCTTTTCCCCTGATAATCCCCTTCCCTTCCTGTTCTCCGAAACCCTGATGTATTATTATTATTATTGTCTGCCTTAAGATGGGCGGGTTGGTCAGTTTTCTATGAGTGTGGACCAGTAGCAACATTGGCCCGAGTTTTTAGCCCAGTGTTAACGAGAACAACGACCACTGGCCCAGTGTTTACCCCAGTATTACCAAGGACGCCGACCACTGCCCCATGCATACCACACCAGCGAGCATGAGACAATTATCCCCTGGCAGTTAGCGCTCGCTGGAGCCTGTAACAACGGGCACTCCTCGTGCAAGGTTGTAATACTTCTTACTTGTACTTCACAACCCTTTTCTCCTGGTACCATCGTCTCCGTCTTCACATACCTGGTCTCAAAATAGTAATGCCTCTGGTGTTATTTGATTCCACAACGATTGATGTTAATATCTGGATTCAGCTTTGTTAACTACTGGTAATGTATGGTATTGTGAGGGAGGGCATGGAGGTGTGTGTGCCCCTCGGGGTCAATGGTGGAGAGAAGCTAGTCCAGACAGACGGGCCGCGTCGTACCCAAAACAGCTACCCAATGGATTTTAAAGTCTACCTAACCTTTCCCAGCCTATCAAATTGAATTTAAACCAACCTAACCCAACTGAGCTTAACAGACCCACATAAACTAATACATCCTAACCTAGCTATACCGTTTTAAGAAACAAAATGAACTTTGTTGACTTTTGTGCGATTTGACCGTATCCGTCCCGATTGGCACGAGTCACTTTGTACCGGAGACGATTTGTCAACAGATTTTAAAACCTACCTAGCCTTACCCAAACCAATCTGACCCAATCCACCCTAGCCCAACATAACCCTACCTAACAATGCCTAACCCAATCATACATTTTTTTTACGATTATAAAGAAAACTGCGAAATATGTGCATGACTTAACTGTACCCCTGTCTAGTCAAGTTGTATTTGGGCATTTTGACGAAGCTCATTTTCCAATCTTAAAACTTATAAATTTCATGTTAGGCTGTGTATTTCTGGGTTTACCTGCAGAGGGTTTCGAGAGTTCTTCTACTCTCCGAGCCAGGCCTCAGGCCAGGTTCGGGTTTGGTTGGGTTGATTTTAAAATGTGTTTGCTAACCATCATGGATTATAGTTTTTTGATGTCCAGGACAAGATTCCTGTACTTAGGCTTATCAAGTTCCTCCTAGGCCAACAACTGACCTTCCTCTGGGATAAAAACCCAAATTCCAAGATATCGGTTTACAGCTACGTGAATAGAAGCATCAGGCGAGAGAGAACACTGCCCATAGGCTTCTGGTCTGCTATGGGAAGTGAACCCACGACCCTTAGTTATGAGCATTGATGCGGATCTTTATTTTAAAGTGATGTATGAACCTAAGTAATTCTGTCTAATCTAAGGGTTATAAGGATATTAAGGACTATCAGAACTATAAAAAACTGTCTTCACTTCAGACAGTACACAGCCCCCTGTTTAAATCCCTAAACATGATGAGCATACACTCCACACATTTTTAGTTCTTTTATTTTATTTGTTTTATTTATATATATATATAAAGAGTTCTTACGTTCTTGCAAAGCCACTATCACACATAGCATTTCGAGCAGGTCCTGAATCTTAATTTTCCATGAATACGACCCGCCCAATCATTTAACAACCAGGTACCCATACCTCTCCCTGCCCCTAGTACTGTAATTGCATTTTTCTCATTTATCCATATGTCACCTGTGGTATCTGTGCCTGGGGATGTACCACTCTTAATCACCTCTGACTGCTAATTGCCCATCATTAATCAGCAATTAGAACAATGACAAAATCCAGTCCCCACACAGCATTATACTCAATTACTGAAATCTTTGAACATGTTAGATATCATCAACTTTCACAAAACTCTGTTCTTCTTTAATATCCATTGTCCAACGCTAACTAAACCAGTCAAAACTAAAAGGTTAAACAAGCCATGACTTACTAAGGGTATACTTAAATCTAATAATAAAAAATATGACCATGAGAAGAAGTATAGGTTAGGGGTAATCTCTAAAGAAGTTTCAAGGAGATACTGTACTTATCAATGCTGTTCAAAGGGAAGGAGGGTGCCAGGGAGCTTCCGGGGCTCACCCAGAAAATGTGTTTCATTGCATTCAGTGCTGCTTTTCTGTGGGAAGCCCCTTTGGCACCCTTGAGCTACATCAACAAAGATAAGTAGAAGAAGGACTTACCCGCGAGGCGGCCACAGTGCGTGCATCAACTTGAAGACAAGACAACTGGCTACATCCTGTGACCCAAAGCCACACACGAATTACTGGGACCAGGAACATTCACCAAATAATGGGCAGCCAGGAACCCTGTTCAGCCTCCACAACCACCATGCCCGAATGTCAGCCCAAGCTGTGATTCTTCCCCTGCTGTGATTCATTCTCGTCCCCCCCCCCCCTTCCCTTGCTTCCAGGGTTTAGAGGATTCTGAGACTTGGGCAATTTCGGGGGTTGCCCCTTCTGGGGTGGCGACAGAGGCATTCGAGTCAGTTCCTACGGCTGTGGTGACAGGGTCTGCCCAGTGGGCCCCTTTTCTTCCTGCCTTTCCGGCTGCCCCGGCTTTTTCTTGTGAGGCCGGGACTTTGGAGGATGACTCTTCCCTGGGGCCTGATGTGGAAGGTCCCAGGGTTGGGAAGGGGCTGACTTGTGGGCCTTGGGCCCTGCTAAACCTTGTCTTGAGTTTTCCAACCCTCAGAGCAGGACTTTTTGTTACATGGAGTGGGGTTTTCCTTTCCCCCCTTCTGCGCACAAGTTGGATTTGGATTCAGCCCCTCCATGGGTTCAGTCCGAAGGACTGAAGGACAGAACCGAAGGACCCTTCGGGTCCTTCGGTTCTGTCCTTCAGGAGGTTTTCGACTTCCCGTGTCTCTCCTACTGAGGTGCGGGCGGCCATTGCGGTTTACCTCCTGCGCGACCCAGAATTTGCCTCTATAATGGATCCGTTATCCTTCATGTTTGGCTCTTCGTCTCCATACTCGGTTCGTTTATGAGGTTCCGGAGTCGTCCTAACAATGTATGCCTTTGTTCATCATGTCATCTAATTAATGTGTCTTTTTGTGTAAAATTATTTACACATTCATGTATGTTATCTTACTTTTAAAGTGTTTACCCCATTAAACCTTTCAATTTTAATAATTTGCTCTGTTATTCTGTGTTCAATAAATTTAACTAAATACACCTGTATATTTCCTTGCTGCTATTAATATTGCTCCAATCATGTTTTTGATGATTTTTATAGATGGCATTACAAGTTGCAGCCTTGGGGAAGCTACTGAGGTTATTTAAAACCAAATCTTATGATTTGTTTTCATTTTGAGTTGGCAAGGTTTTCATTTGGTCAGGTATGGCACTGCTACTTTTGAAAATGAGTTTTGAGGTCGAGGATGTGAGAAATACGCTAGGTGTGTTTACATTTTTTTGCAGACATGTCCATTTGGTAGTTGTCAATTAAAATATATTTTGAAATTAAAATTTTGCTTAGTGAAATTAGCCCATAAGGTATGGAAAATGCATCCTGGAGGCATCTTTAGTTACAAGGATTCCCTCACTGGAACAAATTGATGTTGGTCTCGTATAGTTATAAATAAATAAATAAAATAAAATGTTTATTCAGGTAAGGTACATACATACAAGAGATTTTACATAATTTGATCGATTTATAGATGGAGTTAGTACATACAATGCCTAAAGCCACTATTACGCAAAGCGTTTCGGGCAGGAAAAACATTAATGACTAAAACTTAATACTAATTGAGTATAAAGAATAAAATGTGTTGAGAACAAATAAAAATAAAGATAAAAAAGGGGGGAAACATGGCTGAAAACGCAGCACAAATACAATTAGGTCGACAAACAGCGTTGTTTAAGAAAACAGACATGGGTTGACAATAGGGGGGTAAGGTAGGTTACAGGGAATTTATTAGGTAGTGCTTCGTTTTTATCTTAAACTGGTTGAGAGAGGTACAGTCTTTAACATGGTTGGGAAGGTCATTCCACATTCTGGGTCCCTTGATTTGTAGAGCATTTCTAGTTTGGTTAAGTCGTACTCTTGGAATATCAAAACTGAATTTATTTCTGGTGTGGTGCTCATGGGATCTGTTACAACCTTCAATGAAGCTTTTGAGGTCAGGATTGGCATTTCAGTTCAGCATTTTATATATGTATAATACACATGTGAGAATGTGCAGTGACTTAATATCTAACATATTCAGAGATTTGAGTAGGGGTACCCAGTGATGTCTGGGGCCAGAGTTGGATATTGTCCTAATAGCAGCTTTGTGTTGAGTAATTAGAGGACGTAAATGATTTTGGGTAGTAGAACCCCAAGCACAAATACCATAGTTGAGATATGGATAGATGAGGGAGTAATAGAGCGTAACCAGGGCATGGCGGGGGACATAATATCTGATCTTAGAAAGAATGCCAACAGTTTTTTAAACTTTTTTTGATATACAGGCATACCTCAGAATAAGAGTTTAATCCGTTCCTGGAGACGCCTCGCCTTCCGAAAACTCGCATTCCGAAATTAATTTCCCCATAAGAAATAAAGGGAAATGAATTAATCCGTTCCTGACTACCCCAAAAACCCCACATCAAACTAAATTTTTATACCTAATTCATCTAAATAAACCTACAAAACTGTGTTCCAGTTATTACTTACCTTGCTGTCGAGTGCTGTAGGCGTATGGAAGATGGTGAGGAGGGGGGAGGAGGAGAGGAGTTACTGTTTGGAAGGGGAGTCCCCTTCCATAATCACATCACATAACCCCATGCCTTGTAACACTATGGATACCACTTCTCTTTCTAAATTTTTCAAACCAGCCCCTGCTTGCCTTAAACTCTTTCTTATCTGCATCACTCGTTGCAGGGGTATTCTTTAGAAGGTCTTCGTGCAACACCCTGGCTTTCTCACAAATAATGGCCTCCGAAACACTATCACCCCTCAACTCCTTGTCGTGTATCCAAATTAATAACAACTTTTCCACTTCTTCAAGTATTTGTGGTCTTTGTGCCGTTAATGTTCTTACTCCTTTTGCCACTTTAGCACCCATAATCTTATTTTTCTTCTTAAGTATAGTGCATATTGTTGATGTGGCTTTGTTGTACTGCCTACAAAGTTCAACAACACGTGTACCGTTCTCATGCTTCCGAATGATCTCTTGTTTCTCCTCTATTGTCATCCTCACATGAGCTTTCTGGCCTTTATCCTTACCACTGGCTTTCTTGGGACCCATGGTGAGATATATAATAACAAATTGTATAGACAAATCACCAAAAATCCAACAAAACACAAAAATCCGCGAGAAGAATTGATGTGGGGGTAGTCACTGAGCGCGAGACAATGGTAAACTGAGGGGCGGAGGGGCGACGATCGCCGAACCACCACGCGCTAGGTCGGCCTGTACGCGTATCAACAAACTCGCGTCCCGAAGTAACCCTCGCCTTCTGAGACAAATTTTTGGAGTAAATACTGCTCGTCTTCCGAAAACCTCGCATACAGGGACAATCGCATTCCGAGGTACCACTGTATTTAGAATGTGTCCCTGGAAATTCAGCTTGTGGTCAATGAGAACGCCAAGGAATTTGCCATCTAATTTGTTACAAATTTGGGTATTGTTTATTCAGAGATTTATTTGATTAGAGGATTTATTGCCAAACAGAATATAGAAAGTTTTGTCAATATTAAGGGCGAGTTTGTTGGCCGTTAGCCAAAGATGGACTTTATTTAGCTCAGTATTTACTGTGGCATTTAGAGCAAGGGGGTCTGGACTGGAGTAAATGAAGGTTGTGTCATCAGCAAATAGAATTGGTTTGAGGTGTTGGGAGGCATTTGGAAGGTCATTAATGTAGATGAGAAAGAGGAGAGGGCCAAGTATGCTGCCTTGAGGAACACCGATGTTCATTGAACTGATGTTGTACTACTACTGTTGTTTGCTTATTTTTCTGCTGAAGAAGCTTGACACTGTCAAGCCGTCAATAGACAAATTATAATTTTTCGGGAATAGCCTAGTAGCTCTAATTATTATTTGTTTTATCTTTCAATTATGATATTTGCTTGAGGTTAGAAATTGCCTGTGCTATGTTTTCTTTAAAATTCCATGGATATTGCCATACTAATATTGTATGTTATTTCAGATGTCCACACCAATGCAACGCATCTGCAACTTTCCAAATTTTACACAACATGCCTATAGATATGGAATTGCACTTTCCTGCATTGGTAAGTTAATTCATAAATTGTTGATGTAGTCATTTTTGTTATTATGTATAGTTATCAACATATATTGCAGCTGTCATGTTTTTCTACTCAACCCATTACCTCTAAACCAGCTCTCCCCCCCCCCCTTCACTTACACACACACACACACACACACACATACATGGCAGTGAGAAGAGAAGCAAAAAGAAAGGATAAAATTCAGAGGTTGAAAATGAGGAAAAAGATTCAAGGAGAATGAAAAGGAAATTTGTGAAACACTTAATGAACAGTTCCAAAGTGTGCTTGTGCAAAATAAAGTCTTCAGATAACTGGACACAATACAAATTTCAGAAAATAATGTAAAGTAAAGATGTCTCAAGACAAAGTGGGTAAAATGTTCAGGTAGCTAAGTAGGAACAAAGCAGTTGGCCCAGATGAAGCTTCACCTTGGGTTCCGAGAGAATGCGCTTCTGATCTCGGCACTCCACTTGGATTGATTTTTCAGTCATTTTTCAATTTATCCCATTATTTTCCATCATATGTCTTGGCAGATATATGGAAAATGGCTAACTTAGTTCCAATCTACATAAATGGTATCAGGGAATACCTTTTTAATTATAGTCCTGTATCATGACAAGCAAAGTAATCAAAACATTAGGAAAAATAATTAAAGCCAAATGGGCAGAACACCTGGAGAGAAATAATATAATAAGACAGTATGGTTTTCGATCAGGAAGATACTGTGTAACATGTTGACTCTGTTTCTATGATAAAGCCAGAGATTTTATAGGAAAGATTTGGTTAGTTGACTGCATTTATATGGGCCAAAAAAAAGGCTTTCAACAGAGTCCCACATAAGAGGTTGTTTTAGAAATTGAAACATTGAAGTAATGACAGGGGGAGGCTTCTGACATCGATGAAAAATTTTCTGACAGAAAATAAGGGCAGTAATCAGAAGTCATGTATTAGACTGTAGAAATGTTACTAGTAGAGTACCACAAGATTCAGTTGTAGCACCAGTTATGTTTGTCTATATAAACAATCTACCAGAAAGAATACAGAATTATATGAACATGTGTGCTAATGCCAAGCTACTAGGGAAGATAAGAAACTTGGATGATTGTCATGTCCTTCAAGAAGATCTGGACTAAAGTGTATGGAGCAACATTTGGCAAATAGAATTTAATGTGAATAAGTGTCATATTATAGAATGTGAAAAGGAGAAAATAAGCCATACACAACCTACAAATTATGTGAAAATGTTTAAGGAACTATGATAAAGAAAGAGATCTAGGGGTGGGCTTGGACAGAAAACTGTCACCTGAGGATGATATAAAGATCATTGTGTGAAGAGTTTATGCTCTGCTTTCCAGCTTCAGAATCACTTTTAAATATATGGATGATGAAATATTAAAGAGATTCTTCTTGATCTTTGTGAAACCAAAATTGGAATATGTAGCAATTGTATAGTGCCTATAAAATTGTGGTGCTTGCCACCCAGAGATCTCCAAAGTTGGCTAGGCATTGCCTCTGAGCGTTCCACCACACTTCAATGTTTATACTCTTTTCAGTTTTCTGACCTTTTTTTTGTGCTATGTTGTTTATTTTAGTATCAAGTTGTTCGCGATAGAATGGTGTGCATTTTGAAACAAGTCCCATGATAATCGGACAATAAATGGATTTTTGGCATAATTTTATTTCAATGATGGCGGTAACCTCATTGGTCAGAATACTTGAGTTTTTTAAATGACTGTGAGAATCTCATTGACCTGAGAAAGTACTTTGACCTGCCTATCGAGCCCATCATTACTTACTCCTGTGTACCTGGGAACCATTTAAACTGATCACCACTTGAGCTGTCACCACTTTGTTGTTATTACAGGCTTCAGGAATGCTATACTGTATGTGACACTTGTGGATTTAGTTTTTAATAAATTCTATTGTGCCATTAAGCTGGGGAACTGTTAGGCTTGTGTTTTGGCTTCAACCATCATTTACACCAGACTTAATATGGCACCTCATCATTTACTACCACTTACCGAGGAGTTACAACTTCACCTCTAGTTGCTGGACACTCGTGCAGCAGTTGACTACCTCAGTTATTTTGGAACAGTAACATATAACTCAGGGAGGAGGATTTGACAATTAAACCAAACAATAAGATAACAGAATGATAATTGGTTATAGCTAGCATATATGTTTTCCAAATAGGGTGGTAATTAATACAGTAATTAATTTGCTCTCACAAGTCAAGCCTGGCCTCGGCCCGGGCTTGGGGAGTAGAAGAACTCTCAGAACCCCATCAAGCAAGTACTCTTATGTACAAGTTTATTTACTAATATGAATTTTATTAATCAAATTTAAAACATCCTGGGTATATGTCCCTACCAAGGCAATGATTGCAATATGTCAATGAATCTATGTCAACTTGAAATTTATGTCAATTATCCGAGATCATTTTTTTATTTTTTGACAAGCTATACACTATTATTGGGGGAGATCACTCATGAGCATTACATTCCTGGACTGACCTCGGCCTCTCTTGGCTACGTGCACAAACAATTTTAATGACTATTATCTAGAGCCAACTTATTCACCAGGACAGTGATGAATACATTAACCATTGTCATAATTAAACTGTTTCAACAATAGCTCTATGTGGATGTGCAGTAATGAAGTTAAGAGAAGTTACCATAATGTATACTAGTTAGGTATGTAGTAAGAGTTTACAGTTAGCAATTCCATAATAGTTTCCAGTTTGCAGACGATGAGTCACGTTAACGTGGCTGAAGAAATGACGACCAAACCACAACTCATAAGATGGATGAGCGACAATGTTAGGTTATCAGCATCGTCATTTCGCCATCTTCTGAGTTGTGGTTTGGTCATCAGTTTTCAGTTTTATGTAGTAAAAGTTTCCTAAAAGTGGAAAAAAAGTCTTTTAGTCTCCTAAGTTTCCTAAATGTTAGGCATACCTAAATGTTAGGCATACCTAAATATTAGGCATACCTAAATGTTAGGCATACCTAATTGTTAGGCATACCTAATTGTTAGGCATACCTAAATGTTACGCATACCTAAATGTTTGGCATACCTAAAATTAGGCATACCTAAAGGTTAGGCATACCTAAAAATTAGGCATACCTAAAGGTTAGGCATACCTAAAGGTTAGGCATACCTAAGTGTTAGGCATACCTAAATGTTAGGCATACCTAAATGTTAGGCATACCTAAATGTTAGGCATACCAAAACATTAGGCATACCTAAATGTTAGGCATACCTAAAGGTTGGGCATACCTAAAGGTTAGGCATACCTAAAGGTTGGGCATACCTAAAAGTTGGGCATACCTAAAAATTAGGCATACTTAAAGGTTAGGCATACCTAAAGGTTAGGCATACCTAAGTGTTAGGCATACCTAAGTGTTAGGCATACCTAAATGTTAGGCATACCTAAATGTTAGGCATACCTAAATGTTAGGCATACCTAAACGTTAGGCATACCTAAATGTTAGGCATACCTAAATGTTGGGCATACCTAAAAGTTGGGCATACCTAAAAATTAGGCATACCTAAAGGTTAGGCATACCTAAAAGTTAAGTAAGCAGTAATAGTTTCCAGATAAGTATGTAGTTTCCAAACTGATATAATGACATTATCTGATTGTGGGTATTGTATGTTGCGACAGGTGTTTTATTAAACTGGCTGGGTGTTGCCCAGGCACATATCGAGTCTGTCCGATACTTAGGGGTTGGATTAGTAATCATCGGATCCTTCCTTATCATTGCCGCTATGTGCCGCTGGATGTTCCTCTTACCTCAACCTAGTGCCGTCCATGAGGTAAGGAAGTTTGAAGTACTTTATCACATTTTATGTGCATAGGGGTTATATGGGGAATTGTAGAACAGTGGAAGAAAGTATAAAACATGCCTAAGTTATCCTAATGTATCCTTATGTCAAGACTTTAGATTTTGAATTTAGTGTTTAAGGTTTGTTAAGGAAATGTTGTTGAGCAAATTTGCATCCAAACAAACTACTTTTCTAGTTCGGGTGCCCCGACCCCCTTGTGACTTCCTGAAGCTATCTTACTGAGATTGCTCCATACTAAGGGTTCACATCAATCATAGAAGTTCTGTTGGCCTACCAGGGACCAGAGCCAGATCCTAGCAACCCCCTCCCCTCACAGAGGTGCAGGTGGCTTGTGACAATCTGCTACCTCCACTGGAAAAAAGCCTCCAGAAAGTCGGCAAAGCATTGTAGACAACTGGAGAGTTCACAAAAAATGAAACCTTGAATCGCCAAACAACTCCAGTGGTAGCACACTTGCCTCGTGCTTCACAAGCAATTTTGCCCAGGTTCCTATCCTGGCTGGGGAGGATTCATTAGGCACCAACACTTAATTTTATACCGCTGTTCATCCAGCAGTGATTGGGTACCTGGTTGTTAAACGATTGGCAGGTCATACTCCAGGGAAACTGTTGGGTAAGACTTACCATAAGGTTCGGGAAGGGAAGGCTCTAAAGACCTGCTAACAAGAGTCAGCAGTTGTGCAGTCATCTGTTCTTGCACCCACCTGTGAAAAAAAAGGGATTCACTTAAACTAGCTAGTTAACAAAGTAACTAATCGTTAGTACTGTATTGATTACTGCCACTAGATGCCCTGGCCCCAGCCTTCAATCGACTCCCCACCTTGAATTATGTTGCAGGTGCTGTGCCGACTGTTGGTGCTAATAGTGCTTCCAGTCCATCAGAGACAAGCCCCGCTGCTTCAAGCTATGTGTTGACCATCCATGGATACTCTTATCCTGCGGGGATCATTTGCTTTGTGTATTGTTTTTTACTTTAGTATAAGTTTCACATGAGTGTTTTGGTTCCAGCTTGTAGTGTGGGCTTGGCTCTTCTGGTATGTAGGGTTGCATGTGCTCAGGGTTTTCTTCCTTGTGTGCCTGCTAATCCTGCACTTGCACAGTCGGTTCCCTTCTCTGGTGTGTTCGGGAGTTTGCCCCTGAGAGGCCTGACCACTGTGATGGAGAGTCTCATCCTGGGTTATTTAAGGGGTCTTTGATTCATTTGTTTTGGCCCTTGGCTGGGAGTGTTTTGGTTGTACTGGGGGTGCATTAAGGTTTGTGCACTTGTTTATGCTGCACACCACAGTTGCAGCCTAGTAGTTTTGGTTGCAGTTAGTGTTTGTTCTTCTGGAGAGTGGCCCTAGTGCCTGGGGTGTCTGTTTGGTTAACATCCTTCAGGCCCTGGAAGTCCCCAGTAGATCTCGGGTGTGGTCTGTATGGATCAGCTTGTCGGGCCTGCTCTCACTGAGTGTGAGTTTAAGGGGTGTTAATCTTTGCTACTTGACGATCATTATTTCTGCCCCTGCCATGTTACTTGTTGGATCAGTGACACATACGACCCCGAGTCCTGTAAGGTGTGCTCTTACTGGGTCTCTGCATTCATGGATTCCACTGCCCAGTTGGATACATTTCAGGCAGCTGCCACTTTGTGAGCTAGGTTTGCTGGAGATAGGCATTCATGGCATGTTGATTGGCTGGATGCCCCAGAATTGAAAGTGTTGGTAAACTTCACCTGGACTAAGTCCAGGCCTCTTTTTCCTTTCTCTGTGGGTGTGGTTCACCTTGTTTTGGCTCCGAAGCATCTGAAGGTTTTGGAGTTGGGTCAGATTTAGTTTGGAGTGTACTTTGGTCTTCTCCAGGTGTGGTCCTGTCAACGATGGAGGTAGTCAAGCCTTCTAGTACCACCGGGGTTTTGTGGTGCTCGCCTTTACAACCACCCCCTTGCCCCAAGCCTTCTCCATGGGAGGACACCTTTCTGTCTGAGGTGTTGAGTAAGGACTTCAGTTCTGCCCCAGAGCCTTTGTGGCAGGTTTCTGGGGTTGAGGGGGAGCCCAAGGAGTGTTCTTGGGCAACTTTCTGCCCTTTGTGGAACTTGGTCCCCTCCACGGAAGATCTTTTGTTGTAGGGGGGAATAATTTTTCATATCCTCTATGTACGAGTTGGATCGCTCGGCTGCTCCCTTTTAGATTTGTCATTTATCCGGAGGGTTCTGTCCTCCCATGCTGCATCAGCTGTGGTCTTATGTGGATTTGCTTCAGTATCCTCTGAGGACCTCTTCTCCATGATGGACCCAGCCTCTTCTAAATACGGATCTGTCTTTGTTTATTGGTTGTAGTATGAGGTCTAGGGTTCATCCAGGCTAACTGACAACTCTCTCTTTTCCTAAAGCTTGGCTGGGTTTCTGTCAGACCTGCATGCATGATTAGCAGGAGGTGAGTTCTGTCTTTCAGGTGTTACTGGCTAAGGATGCCTTTGCTCCACTCCTGAGCTGTGTGTTTGCTCCAGGACTTTCCGAAGATGTGTGCATCTGGTTGTGCTGTCCAGGGGCCCCGTATTACAACGTACCCCAAGGAACAGAGCCGGCCGCTGTGATAGGTGATAACTAGCTGCACAGCACCCTACCAGTGCGAAAACTGCCTCTTACCCTAAGGTTAACTAGGGAAGACAAAACTCCCAATTACCCAAAGAGCGGCCGAGAAACTGAGCAGTAAAACGGACACATGGAGGCAGACCCTGAGGAACTTGTGGAAGGTAACCCCAAGCTCCAAGGGCAGTACTTACAAGGCACCAAGGGAAGGGAACCCTAGGCGCATGCAGCCTGATTACTGAGGAATAACTCCTGGCTCTCGCACCCCTGGAGAACAGCAGCCACACACAAGGCACAGTGCCGCAAAAAGACTGGAGCCAGAGCACACGACTGAGCCGATAGCATCAGCCTCAAGAACTGGAGTGTGGATCGCCGGCGCGGTAGGTCTGAGGCTGCCCCTTCCCCCTCCCGGGGAGGGGGGCTGTGCAGACAGCAGCGCGATGACGTGTGACGTCATACTAATTTGCTCGTTTTTGTTTGGGGAGTTCTATCCACTCGTTCGACTTTTGGTTGCAATTTTCACCAGAAGAGGGGTTTGTTTTGGGACGCCTACCTTTCTGGGTGCCTAACCCGATCGATGGCAGACATAAAATGCTTCCAATTACACAGCGGTTTCTATAGGCCTTTGCTCCCCTTGCCTCTCTAGATGGGGCCAGGTTCTGGCTCGTGGTCCCCGGTAGGCCCATTAGAACTCCATACACATGACTGATGCCAAAGTCTGACATTAGCATATCAGCCTAGTAAGCTCCAGGGAGCCCCCGGGACTCGCTCAGAAAATGGCGTTTCATTACATTCAACGCTGTTTTTCTTTTTGGTGGGGTGGTGGATTGTCACCCCACTCCCTGCACCTGTGTTCGTTTAATGTAACGAAATGCCCTTTTTCTGGTGGGTCCCCAAGCTTCTCATTCATTCCCTGTTCCTTTATTACCTGTGGAGTTGTTGAGTTGAATGAGGGGGCAGGCTGGCTGAAACCCCAGGGTTTTCTGGGCTACCATCTGCTGGCAGACAAGGGCATCACAGTTAATGAATGTTCCCTACAACACTGATCATAGGCTTTGTTTATGTAGTGGTACCTAATTTTTTTCAGCAGCTGCTTCTTTTATTGTACCTATTCTCTCTGGTGGATTCTATGGAAAAATAATGTAAATTGGACATTTACAAAAATCAGGAATTTTGTAAAAGTTGAAAGTGGCCTAATGTTATACTATAGTTTGGAATTTTGAAGTTACACTGTATTCTTGAGAAGGTCAGATCCCAACAAAATTAAAAAAATAAGGTTTCTAACCTATATGAGGCCTTTTTATTCTATAAATTCAGTTGTATTAAAAAACATAAATTGTAACAGATGTATTTTATTCCATAAGGTAAACTCTGATAGAGTGAGTGACCTGCATGTGATCACCGTCCCCATGGGTCGCTCACAAGGCCGCTCTTGCACTCCAGGAACCTCAACAGCATCCCAGGGAAAACCACCAGACTATTTCTTAGTTACTGAAAAGCCGCCAAGCTATGAGGAAGCTATGTCCATGTTGCCCCCATACTCCACTGCACAAACGGGCTCTTTGCAGTTGAATACAGAAGGTGGCTTGGGAGATTTTTTGGCTCCTCATCAAGTACCTGAAAGCCATCTTGAAGGTGCCACTGGTATATCTTTACAGCATTCAGATAACAGAATGGAGACTGGTAGTTTTGAAGGGTCTGAATGCTCAGTTGGCCCAATACCACCACCTCCTGCATATTCCAGCCAAATGTCACTGTGTGCCTCGCTCTCCACAGGTGCAAGCAGTGATAACATGTGCCCACCCCTAGAAGACAATACATGCTGCCATGACATAAGCAACTACACACAGGTGCCCCCTACACAGGATCCTGGGCATTGCATGCTCTCGGTAGTTAATCCATCCATAAACACAAATGAACAAACTCCTGAATCTATTGAACCTCCTGAAAAATGTCAGAAGACTAGTCACACATCATCCTCAGTAGATGCTGGTGTTGAGAAATAGATCAACTGAATGTACATGCACTGAACACTTAATTCAAAAGATGCACATTACACAATGCAGTTGCAAAATTTTAGTGTGATTGTGAAGTGCAGAGAATAAGTCACAGTATCATGGGTGAAACAAGTAACTTGACCCCACAAATATGAAATGTAATGAAAGTAGCAATATTTCAGTCTGACCTCTGATAAAGGTCCAGGACGGACTGAAACTTTGTCACATTTATTTAATTTCATATGTGGAATGTGTTATTTGTTTGTGAAATGTTTAAAAGTAGGTTCACAGGGGGAAGTATTCCAAACAAACTACAGCATACACTTTTCTCAAGAATACGAAATAGGTTAGTTAATACATGCAGAAATCACAATAGCATGATAGTTTGAGTTATCGATATCGAATAGTGATAATATTAAGTTCAAACTTTCATCACAGCCCTTGTGGATTTGTTCATTTACTAGTTAATGTAAATTTAATTTATAGTTTATTTTGTTTAAAGATTTCATATATGTAGCCATTATATATCTGAAAATATATCTTAATATATTAGGTTTTCATTAAGTTTAAATATTAAGCTTTATGATTTTGGTGCTAATTATACCATAGTATATTTCGGTTCTGAGTAGGATACAAACACGTAGCCAACTCTTATAAATATATCTTATATTTTTATTATAGAATACCTCAGGAAAATATATTGTTTCCTTAAGTCAGCATTTAACAAAAGGTTTATTTTGAAATTTAGGCCTAAAATTCATCTTCACTTAGTCAGATTTGTTATGGAATTATGCTAAATAGCATCATAACCTCTGTTGCTTAAAGTTTATTGTTTGAAGGCTTTGGTTCAGCCTGGTGACCCCTGAGCTGGTTAAGGGTCCTTGTTCATCCTGGTGACCCCAGCCCTGAGCTGGTTAAGGGTCCTTGTTCATCCTGGTGACCCCAGCCCTGAGCTGGTCGAAAGTCAGTGACCAGCCCTAAGGGATTGGGGGTCGTGGTTCAACAGTGACCAGCCCTGACCTGGTTGAGGGTCAGTAACCAGCTCTGGGCTGGTCCTAAAACAGCAACTAATCCTGCAAACTAATTCACTGCCAATTATTCTCCTCAACTAAATCAATCCTGTTCCTGAAAGTAGAAAATAAACACAGTGCCCTTAATTTATGGTCTCTTAGTTACTGTATTTAGTGTTAAAAAGAATCATATTTGTTTAATAAATCACTTTGAAATCTGTTAAAAGTTCACCATTACATATCAGGCGATGAACAGCCAAATACACTTATTCACACTCATCTCTCACTTACATGTTTCGTAATTTTGTTACATTTGCTATATCACATCCATTGCATACCCACTAATACCACCGCACCATCATGCCACCTCATCATTGCATGTTCTTTCGAGTGTGTTGCAACTGCATGAATGCTTCTCATCTACTCATTTCTCTCTGAGTTTTGTGATTATTATTGATGGAGTATTATATTCCTTGTGTATTATTATTATCCCTCTGATATTTTATCCCTGTCTCTATCTGTCTGTCTCTCTCTCAGACCACGAAACCTTCGGACTGATGAGTGTGGCTCCCACGGGCCACACGAAACAGCTGTATCCGAGTTTTTTTTTTAAATACTGTAGGTACTTCGTAGAAAAGTGATACAAAAAACCACGGGAATAGTGTTCAGTTACTTGCGTGTGTTGGAGAAAAACTCAGTCCACGAGTGAGACGACTCACTCCCTAAAGTGTTGTGATCGAAACCTAAAAAAACCGCCACCCCGAGTTTTATGAAAAAAGCTGTTTCCTTCACCCATACTGACATACATTTTCTCCAGAACCCACCGCATCGGCAACAAGAACTAACCCACGGAATAAACCTAACTTCTCCAATACCAGAAAAAACCGTGTACAACAAAAAACTGAGGTAAGTCAAGGGGGACATGCAAGGTCACAATAGGGCAAGTGAACATAACACACACACCCCAGAACAAACAGACCAAGTGCAAAATTCCCAGGGTTTCTCATTGGGTATAGACATGAACCCTTACCCGAATCCACAACGCCCAGTCACACAGGCAACAAGCAGGGAACCAGCGGGACAAACCCCCCCCCCTAGACTCATCCCTCTCCTCCCTACAAATAATCCCCTCACTCACTCCATTTCTCCCCCCCCCCCCCCCTCACACCAGGGACAAATCCAGGTCCAAACCCAAATGCAAACTGAGCCCCATGCCTGCCAGGATACCATCTCACCCAATGGCCTGGTTGACGACCTGACGGCATAATCAGCAGACGCATGGGCAGACCTGATAAAAGACCTGCAGAGGAACCCCACAGTCGGCCCACCATTGGCAGCACTACCTAGCCTATGGGCGGAGGCTCGAGTATGAGGAGGAGCAGGGGGAAAAATCCTACAATCCCTCCCATTTACCAGATCCGCACCAGACATTTTGCCTGAGTGTCAAACATTAAGGAAATGGTTGAGAACTCTTCCTTTCGGAATGACCCTTTGTAGACATTGAACTGTCGGGGAAGGAACAGGGGGTGACGGAAATCCTGCGTCCAGTCTTCTCTACGCTTGACCACCTGAGAGAAAGACTGTGCCAGATACAGAGAACGGCCATTAGGAACAAAGCCCCGGTCTTCCTGACTCCGGCACACACTTTTCCTTTTTTCTCAGTGGACATGCCCCTTCCCCCCGCCTTGGAAAAATACATAGAGATTTTCTTTGACAGGCACGCAAGGGAATCGGCAGCCCTGTTTACCCTTATTTTAAAAGCATCCATAACAAGGGAGCATACCAGAAAAGAGGAGATAGTCATGTGCCTCCTAGAGGAAGGGTATCCTCAAGAGAGGATAGGGGCAATTCTCTGGTCAGCATACAATAGGTGTACAAAAGCTACCTGCACAGCACCCCCAGACCCTTTCTCAGGGAAAATGCTGGTAAAAACTAACAAACGTACGGTGCCATACAGTGAGTTTAGGAAAATCCCCCAGACTGACACGCATCTAACCCTAAGGGAATCAGTGTTCAAAATAATTGCACCAGGGGTTCCCAAGATTGGAGAGGGGATGTCGAACCCCTCAGTCTGGGATCTGACCCTAGACACTGACGAATCCATAATAAACCCACAAATACCCCAACCACAAACCGTGAAAACACAAGGGCAAGGGCACCGACAACGGTCAAAAAGCCGGAGTAGGAAACCCCACAACCCGCCACCACAAGCAAAACGGCCAGGTAAAAAAACGAAAAAGGTAAGCATCCCCGAAGACGACTCCCCTACCAGACGGGACGCAAACCCAGCACCACCCAAGAAACCAAAAAACAGGGAACACACTCCTAATAATAGGAGCAACACACCCACAAGCAGGGGGACATCACACAGCCCCCACAGACAGAAACCCCCGTCCTCAAAAGAGCGTCCCCGGACATCCAGCAGGGGGCGCCCCTGATCCAACACCAGGGGTAAGCGAGGTTCGGGCGACATGAACTCCCGGACCCCCCCCCCCCCCCCCCGATCAAACAGGGGAAAACAGAAAGCGACTCGCTCACCTGACAGGCGTCCTCAAAAAAACGGAGGAAAAGGGAAAGGGTGGAAAGATGGTGGAAGAAGCAGGTCGAGAAACGGAAAAAAAAAAAGGGAAACGGAAGGAGCTGGTAAGACGCTCAGTAGTTTCCGAGGTCCACATCTCAGACCACGAAAGAGAACTTCTGGGCAAAGGCCTTACCTTTGTCCCGGGCTCTCTGCCCAGGCACAAACGCTTAGGGTTCGTGAGAGCCGCCATGGGATCCCTAGAGGACCAGATCAATGAAACCTGGTCCATGCTCAGAGTGACAGAACAAAGGGTAAATACACCTATCACCCCACGGACACACCGTTCTAGGACACCTAGGTCACTCTCAGTAAGGTACATGAACCCTCCCCTCCAAAAAACCCAAACCCTATTCAAACTGAATGGCCTGAGTGATTGCATGGACCACTTGACTTCTTCCCTCATAAAACAGGTAGACGAAAGACGACAATATAACCTCCAACCGGAGCTTCGTTCAGCCCTGCGCCATCTGGAAGAAAGGCGAGATGTCGTCATCAAACCGGCCGACAAGGGTGGAACAGTAGTGCTCTGGGAAAAAGAAAACTACTGTCGCGAAATGGGTAGATACCTGATGGACGAAACAACCTACCAACAGGTGTCAAACAGAGAAACGGCACTCAGGAACGCCCAAACAAGAAGCAAATCCCTCGTGCTCTCATTTTTCAGGAACGAAGGCAAAGGGGGCATCCTGAGAGCGTCAGCCAGAGACATTTTTCTGGCCTTCCAATCGGAGCTCCCAAAGATCTATCTGCTTCCTAAAATACATAAAGGAGTAGACCCGATAACAGGAACCTGGCCGGGGCGCCCAGTCCTGAGCAGCTGCAGAGCCCCAACCAGACCTATAGACAGGATATGCACGGCCCTTCTTAACCCGCTTCTCCGCCTTCTAGAGGAGCGGTTAGTGGACACCACAGACCTCCTGATTAAGCTAAACAAAGTAGACAAGGAATGGGGTCCAGTCCCGGAAGGAGCGACACTTTTCTCCTTGGACATAGTGTCATTATACCTGAGCATACCCCAACATCACAGAGGGAGGCGGCTACATAACCTAACTACATAACCTAAGCTACAGCATAGGATCAGTAGAGACCTGAGAGATGCAGGAATCTACACACCTCCATCAAGAGATCTCCTCATCGAAGCAATCCTCCATGTCATGAGGGACACCATCCTAACGTTCAATAATAAAACCTATAGACAGATAAGGGGACAGCGATAGGAGCCTCCAGCAGCGTGGCCATCGCAGAGATCTTCGTCCATGAGGTTTTCGAATCCAGGAGAATAAACCTTCAGATGAAACCAAGAATCTACTACAGGTACATCAACGATATCTTCGGCATCATGCTGGGACTAAAAGAAAACCTGGACGCCTTCCATACATGGGCGAACTCGGTCCATCCCAACTTGAGATTTACGACAGAAAGAAGCACAAAGGAACTTAACTTCCTCAACACAACTATCTACGTAAACCCGGAGACAAAGGCCTTCTATAAACCAACAAATCTCCATACGTATCTACAGTACGATTCGAGCCACCCAAAACCTCTTAAAGAATTTGCTCCCGTACTCTTTGGGCCTGAGACTGAAGAGGATTAACAGTAATCCCAGGTCCCTACACTCACAATTAGAAGACCTCTGGGATTTCTTCAGGAACAGGGACTACCCGGAAGAAGTACTTGAGGCAGCAGCACAGAAACTGAAGCAGAAAACGAGGGAAGAACTTCTGGCACAACCAACAGAGAAGAACCAGGACAGAGATATCCTGATAGCAACATTTTTCGAAGGCTTCAAAAAGCCTCTAAAAAACACGAGACAACTATGGAATTGGTTAGAGGACAGGTTCGGGGACCACCCCTCATGGGAGAGTTTCCCCAAAAACCCGCCAATGCTAGCCTGGAAGAGGAACAAATCCCTAAAGGATAAATTAGTCTCGGCAGCACTTAGAGACAATTGACCCATAAGGGAATACTAGGAAACCCACTTGTACACTAAGGAACCCAGTAGCCGGAGTCATTACAAAGCAATTAAAAAGACATTACCCGCACACTTGCTGGGGATAAGAATCCAGCGGTTAAACGAATAAACAGGAAGACTAAAGGGAACAAAATGGCAACATGACACGAGGTTGGGTTGAGGCTCATCAATGTAAAGTGTCTGTCTCTCTCTCTCTGCCTGCTCAATTAAAAATCCATTAATATTAATCAGGGCATCAGCCTTTGAAGTACCCATAGCCTGTGCAATGTTACACTACACACACATGCCAGTATTCTGAGTGAAGGACAGTAATGACAATATTACACTGAAATGTTCATAAAACATGAGGGAACGATTCAAATTCGGGTATACCAAAATCTCATATTTTTATTTCGTTTAGGGATTTCATCCTATTTATCAATTCCTCAGGGCATCGGATGCCTTAGCTTCTCAGTCTCCCCATCCACTTAACTTTTATTGTTGCCACCTGCAATTTCCTAATTTGTTTGCAACTAAACATAATTGCAATCCAAACTGCCTAATCATCTCTAGAGTTGGAGAAGATACAGTACTTTACTCCCATCTTTCATATTTGCCTTAGGTGCCCATTTCAAAATGGTATAATCAAATTCTCGTAACATTTAGTCCTATTGGGTACATTGCCAAGATTTTATCTTGTGTTTTGTTAGACATATTCATCTACATGTGACCAAATGAAAGATGCTCAGTTTTTTGCATGTTGTTTAGGTAAAGTATGTTAGAGTAGCAGAGTTTGTGTTCATGGTGCATGTCATCTTACTCTCTAGAAATGTACCTGGTTAGCTCATATTATATATTGCTTACTTGGAAAATATTTATGTATGTATGCTTGTGTGTGTTTTCATTAGTTGAATGGTTGAGACCATTTCTTGTACGTTTCTAATTATATTTTTTTATAGAAAACTATTTGTTTTGAAGTGAAGTGCTAACAGTTTTCAGGAAGGGTATCATGCATCTAAGTTTTGGAAGAATAGCAGGGCAGGACAGGGCAGGGCAAGGCATGGCACAGGAGAGGACAGGGCAAGGCACAGCACAGCAGAGGACAGGGCAAGGCACAGCACAGCAGAGGGCAGGGCAGGGCACAGCAGAGGGCAGGACAGGGCACAGCAGAGGGCAGGACAGGGCACAGCAAAGGGCAGGACAGGGGCACAGCAGAGGGCAGGGCAGGGCACAGCAGAGGGCAGGACAGGGCACAGCAGAGGGCAGGACAGGGCACAGCAAAGGGCAGGACAGGGGCACAGCAGAGGGCAGGGCAGGGCACAGCAGAAGCCAGGGCAGGACAGGGCAAAGCAGAGGGCAGGAAAGGGCACAGCAGAGGGCAGGGCACAACAGAGGGCAGGATAGGGCACAGCAGAGGGCATGGCACGGCACAGCAGAGGGCGGGACAGGGCACAGCAGAGGTGAGGGTAAATACAGTACAACTGTACATCACTTGGAAGGGATATGAGGAAAAGGAGCTGGGATATGAAGACAGTGTAAAAGAATGCTACCCAACCACTTGGACCATCAAGGATGAATATTAACCCTGCAAAAAAACAAGAATGGTGCACTATCAATCTGTTCAAGTAGCAGCTCCGTGCAAAGCAGGGTGGCGTGTCATATCTTCTTGAGACAGTGGCATTATCATTGACAAAGTCTTAGCATCCAGGTTCTCAGAACCCTGGATTATACTATGAACCTATACTATTTTCCACTACTTCCTTATACTGTGCTGTGGTTTACTTTGATCGAAGACTGTTTTTGCAGTTATGATAATTTTGTTTCCACATTCAATACACTAGCATATTGTTGTTTATATTTTAACATGTAGGTACAGCATATCAAAATTTATACAAGGTTGTGCATACTTTATGCAATATTTATTTAAAAACAGTTACTTGTCATCTGTAATACTGTATCTTGTCTTTCATGGACTAAATAATCATGGATATTGTTTTCTCTTCCTTACCTCTCCCTAATATACTCCATAGTTTTAGTCACTTCATACTAACTAACCTTGTTCCATGTATACCCCAGACTTTACCTCCCATTCACATTTGTTCTTGTCCACAGCTTTGTAAATACTGTATGCATTGTGTCTGTATTTAGTCCCATTATTCCATCCAGCTGCCCAAGCCATACATATACATATTCCATCCTTTAATTGATTAATTATTTTTTGACATTTATATTTGCTTACTGTTCCTCACCCAACATGTAGTCATTTCGTTGTGAAACTATTTGCTTGCTGTATGGAAGCTGTCATATACACCACTGATACGTGTTTGGCGAATCACATTCTGTAATTAGCATGGCTGAATTTTGCCAAGATCTGCATCTTAAATATTTTATAATTCCTTACTCTGCTTCATATTCTCTGAAAATTTTCTTTCAGTTACATTCATTTAAACTGACAGTGCCATTATTAAGTACTGTATTAATAATATAAATGTACTTAAAAATATCCAGCAATAACTTATCCTGTCATGGAGTGTTTACTAAACCCTTGCTATCCATGCAAGTCCAATGCTCTTGTCTGACTTTGTACTGCTGTAAAACATTTGTGTATGTAATTAGTGAATGCATTTTGCACAATTTAATTACAATTGTGTGTAATGAATGCAAGCAGTGTAATACTATTCTGCTTTGCACCTTGATTCAATTTCACTGAGATTTGGAATTGATGCAGCAAATGCCAGATGATCAGATACTTTAAGAATATTCTTTTGTAGTTTAACATAAAACTGCACCTCTACATATGCAGTATAATTATAATAACAAATTTAATAAAAGATGCATAATGGATGTACAGACTTTTTAGAACTTTCTTTTTAAATGTTACTAAAATGTTACTGTTAGGCCTGCAAACATAATTAATTCATGGATCTGCAACAAAGATTTTTTTTTGTTCTAATACATGGTTTTATTCATTCAAAGATGCAATGCACCTTGTGTGTGCAGAGCAAAAATATCAAACCAAGGTAATTATTAGGCGTGCTAAACCAGTATGACTATAGCAGGGGCAGCAAAACTTGCTTACTGTAAGAGCCACAAGTAGTAAGCTCAGGTGTTTGAGAGCCTCACGACATGAACAAAATTTACACTTACGGTATGTTTTTATTGTTATATACATGTTTTGTTACAAAAATTGTATATAAATTAAAAAAATGCATATTAAATGTAATAATATTTATTCATGCTTGCAGTTTTTAAACTGTTGCTGGTATTCCATCTGTTGTAGCACTGACGAGTTTATTCAGTTGAATATTGGCATTTTTTAAGGTTCTGTCAAGTGCATTTTTAATGTCTTTAGCACCAGTTTCTTCTTGTAATGCCACCAAGTCCAACATCTCTTCTTTCACATTTACTTCAGAGGAAACGACAAACAAATATTGCCAGTTGCAGTTTGTCTTGTATGACTGTTGATTCCTCAAGACCTAAGCTGAATGCAAGATAATTTTTTTAATCATTTTGCTTCCAACATGAGCACCGAGAGATACGCTTCTCTGTAGTGTGGCGTGAAGCTGGGGTTTGTGCTGTCCTCTGTAGTGTGGCGTGAAGCTGGGGTTTGTGCTGTCCTCTGTAGTGTGGCGTGAAGCTGGGGTTTGTGCTGTCCTCTGTAGTGTGGCGTGAAGCTGGGGTTTGTGCTGTCCTCTTTAGTGTGGCGGGAAGCTGGGGTTTGTGCTGTCCTCTGTAGTGTGGCGTGAAGCTGGGGTTTGTGCTGTCCTCTAGTGTGGCGTGAAGCTGGGGTTTGTGCTGTCCTCTGTAGTGTGGCGGGAAGCTGGGGTTTGTGCTGTCCTCTGTAGTGTGGCGTGAAGCTGGGGTTTGTGCTGTCCTCTGTAGTGTGGCGTGAAACTGGCATTTGTGCTATTAGTTGCTGAAGTTTTGTGTTATTTAGGTCTAACACTGTCTGCTGGCTATTTATTGATGATTTTAAATCATTTAACTGATTTTTTCCTTAGTCTGATTTAGGCAAGTAATAATATTAAAATTTTTTGTGATTACTTTCATAGTGGCATTTCAAGTTACTGGCTTTGTAATGACTGAGTGGCACTTGGTAGAGAACGCACAAAGATTTAGGCTTACCTCGTTTAACTGTGAATGCAAACTCTTCCTCCCACTCTGGCTGAAAATTTATGTTTTCATCTTCAAATTTTAATTTCTTACAATTTATTGAAGAACGTTTTCTTCCTTCACAAAGTTTTCAGAGACAATTTAAATAAGATTTATATATGAAGTGTACCAGCTAGGTCTGCACAGTTAACGTCTGCACTTGTACTGTACTCCCTCCCATAGATATCACAACTCTTTATATTACCACACGTTTCTTGCTCTGGATTCGAGTTATAATTTCTAGAATATTCGAATTCCCTAGACTTTTTCATGAGCTGCATATTGTGAGAAATATCAGGTCAAAGAGCCACATGCAGTTCGCAAGATGCGGTTTGGCCACCCCTACTATGTAGCATTTGGAAGGGCTGTAAGACAAGGAGCTAAAGTAGGAGAAAGGAGTGAAGGAACTGTGCCAACCACTTGGACCATCAGGGATCAGATGCTGCCCTTCAAGCAGCAATGCTGTCGCTGTACCATCCGGTCCAAGTGGATGGATTTTATCATACCAAATAAATAAATTATTGCTTTCTGGAGAATGTCACAATGTGGATGAAATAAACAACCCAACCCCTGCAAACATGAAATGAAAGTGATGACATCACAGCCAGTCTTGAATTCTTGTCATGTTATGTCATGTCATGACTTGATAAAGGCCCAAGACAGACCACACATCATTATTTCCATTTCATATGTGTGGGCTGCATTATTTATAAGTCATGATTCCATACAATAAATTTAGCTGCATATACCATCACACAGGCACTTGCCCTATCCTAGGAACATCATTGAATGGCCTGTTTACTCAGTGTCTATATCCATGTATTAATGAAAGTGAATTTTCCATTTGATGTATTAAACCTTTGCTGCAAGGATATTGTAAATCTTCAGTGAAGATGTTACTGATTGTTGTTCGAGTTGGCTCGAATTAATAAGTAACAAATGGCAACAAAGTTTAGATATGTATCATAATGTACTAGTTACTCTAGAAAAATGTAGATGCAGTTTGGTGAAATGGAACAAAAGACATTTTTGTTGACTGAAAGACTTCGAGTGCCATTGTTGCCTAGAACACTATTAATCAAACTTTTAATAAGTCTGAAGTAGCATCTTGCTTGTATATATTGATTCTAATCATTGTGATAATGATGTCACTTTACTAACATTAGATGTAGGGTTGAAAATACCAAGATAGGCATCAACTGGTTTCAAGATGACAATTTTTGCTAGTAAACTTTTTTTCAACCATTAGCAGCAAGCCGACTTGTTAAGATTTTTAAAACTCTCATGTGCACACTATTACCTTGACATTGTCTTATTCTCAGCTTAGTGTTTTCAAGCCTAACATACATAACAAACATGTTGTGGTCAGCTAGAGGTGATACACAGCTTAGCTATGTAAGTATTGATTAGTGTTTGCAATATGCATTGCTTAAGATGGTCATTAATGCAATAATCAAATAATTAGCATCGAAGAATGCTATTTGTATCACAGTTTTAATATAAAAATGTAAGTGATAATTAGACAAGCTTTTGATGTGTAGCATTGTTGAGATCAAATGTTATATGCAGTACTGTATACTTTTGTGCAGAATAACCACAGCCTTGGCTTAACATGTACGAACTCTAATTGCTTCTTTTACTTGATTATACTGTACTACACAAACTCATGTTGAAATTTCCTACATCGTTGTTCTGCATCTTGAAGGTCATATATTTTGTGATTTCCCTGCACAATTGATATATTATACAATGTGTGTGTGTGTATATAATAATAATTTTATAGTGTATTGCTTTGTAAATACACTATACTGCATCATAAATTATTTGTGATGTTGCTAAGTAGATATGCTAAAGTGAGCAAATTAAATACTGGTTTAAAAAATCTTTGAATTGTGGCTGTTTTATATTGTATTTTATCCGAGTTCACCAGAACTTTTAATAATATCAGGAGTCATAATACTGTTCAATCTAAGTTGTATCAATATTTGCTCTAATCACATTACAAACCCCAAATCTAACAAGACAATTATTTTTGTTTAATAAAATAGTTTTTTTAATTATGGATGGCATCTTGGTGCCTTTTGATCCTTTAACTGTGAATCCAATTTGTTGATATATTAGTTAGTGTTAAACAAGAAATGACCCACCGGTTTGAATAATGAAAAGTGTTCTTTAAAGTAGATTAGTATAGAAGTGTTAAGGTTTAGCACAATCAGTGTACTTGTTACACTTAGATACCTTCAGCAATGATGCAATATGTCTTCCTTCTCCTAGTGTCTCTGTTCTCTCTAGTGGGTGCCTGTAGGGCAGTAGTGTGAGCTTGTTGTGTGGACAGAGGTGGGGAAGCCTTAATCAATCATCGTTTGCTGTGCCTTCATTCCTAGTTAAGATTTTCTTGTTGTTTGCATCAGCAGTATTCCAAACCAACATTGTGCACCTCCTGTCTTATTTATTGTGCCTTTGACCCCACAAATCCTGCAGTTACTGCGAGTTTTTAACTGAAGAAGAGATATGTTCTATCTTCTCATAGATGTAGCACTTTCAAGACTTTTGTTTCAAGAATTCTTTATTATGTACTATACTAGGAATGGTTATTGTGTCAACCTGTTCTCTCGCCTAATATATCTCGGCTTTCACGGAATTGACCTATCTGTTCAAAATGAGATGTATAGTATTACTATATTAGAACTCTGCAATATTAACATTATCTTTTTGTTGTGTGCATTGCCTCAATAGCTTAGGTTGGTTGCTTGGGTTCATATGTTTTTGGTTAGATAAAACGATTATATTTTTCAGAGTGGCAAATTAAGAGAACAGGCCAACTCTGTGCCATGAAATTAAGACTAGTTTCAGGTATATCTACTGAGTTCAAGAGAATTTGCACAAACTTCTTAATTATTTGTCTGCAAGTGTGTGTGTGCAGTATTACATATTGAAATAAATATCACATTACAGATAGTAGTTTTCTTGGATATACAGTATAATATGGTTTGTATTAAAAAAAAAAAAAATTGTGTGTGCATGTAAAAATGGTATAACTCGAGGCTTAATCTTTTTCAACAATAATAGTGGAAGGATACACAGTACTCACCTAGATGTGCTTGCGAGGATTGAGCTTTGGCCCTTTGGTCCCGCCTCTCAACTGTCAGTCAACTGGTGTACAGATTTTTGAGCTTATTATTATTATAATCAAATCTACATTTGAAACTGTGTATGGAGTCTGCCTCAACCACATCACTGCTTAATGCATTCCATTTGTTAACTACTCTGTTGACAACACAACAGTGTGTGTTGTCATGTGGTGAAGGAAATATCCATCAAGGAGAAGCCTTTATTATATAACATGTTTTCTGTAATAAAACCCTACTTGGTGCATTACTTCAATACTTGTACAGCAGATGTTAATGATAAGATGAAATGAGAGGTCTCATTATTGTTCTAGCGAGTCCGAAATCTTAAGATAAATGTATATGTGCTCAAGTTATGACTAAAAACACAATAATGGCTTTAATGTTATTTAAGCTATATACAGGGTATATTGCTTAATATATTCTGACCCCAGCCCAATATATTCCCCAATATTCTGACACCAGCGGTATAAACACCAGTGACATAACTAGTTGGAGAGAAGGGAATGTGAGTATGGGCATCTGCCCGACATTATCTCTTCCATTGCACCCCAGACTTCATTGCTAATATATAACTGATGATCTACCTACCTACCTGTTTTTGTTGGTAGGTAGACTTACCTGATAATTTCGAGGATCAAGAGAGACTGGACGTCCTGGTTGCTGGTCTGATCAACCAGGCTGTTTGATGCAGCTGCTCACAGTCTGATTGATCAGGTATTCTTTGAATGTGCTTGTCGAGTTCTCTTTTGAACACTGCAAGATGTCGGCCAGTTATACCCCCATATGTGTAGGGAAAGTGTGTTGAAAAAGTCTTGGGCCTTTGATGATGATTGAGTTCTCTCTCAGCATGCCTATTGTACCTCAGCTTTTTAGTGGGGCTATTTTACATATCCTGTCATGCTTTTTTTTTTTTTTTTTTTTTTGTGTAGATTTGGAACCAGTTCTCCTAATATTATTCAAGTGTAAATTATTATGTATTTCTCCCAGCTGCACTTTATGGAATACAAATTTAAAAATTTTAGTCCCAATAATTTAGATGTTTTATTGAGTGGATTTTAACAGTAAAAGATCACATCAATTTCTTCAGCTTTGAATGGGGTTGTTAGTGTGCAACAATATTCCACTGTAGAGAGCACTAATGTCTTAAAAAGTATAATTGGCATGGCATCTCTTGTTCGGAAGGTCCTTTGCCCTTCCTATCCAGCCCGTTGTCGTCGTGAGGGGGCCTGGTAGGCGGCTGCCGGAGTGTGATGCTCCATGGGTCAGTCCTCTGTCCTTTTGAGGCCTTATGCTCCTGCTGCTGTCTTCTCCAATTGTGCTGGATATCTTTTCCTTTTCCTTGTGTTTCACTTTTCTCCCCCCCCCCCTTCTCTTCTCCTTTCTAATTGTCATTTCCCACCGACCTTTTGCCAGTCTTGATTATTCTTTCGGACTACTTCTGTTTTGACACCCGGGTGTTTGGGGAGGCATACTCTCACCCGTAGAATTGTGGTACCCAATGTCGCGAGCGAGGGGACCCTTTTATTGTCAATCCTCCTTTCGTCACTGAACCTAATCTCGATCTCGACATTGGCCGTTTCTTATCTCTAATAGATTTAAGACAGTTGAGTTTTGCTGGGTTCCCAGCCATATTGGTCTCTCTTTAAATGAGCGTGCAGATGCTGCTGCTAGGGAAGCTATCCACACTTATCCCATCTCCAGTAAAGGTATTCGTTATTCTGACTTTTACCCATTTATTCATTCCTCCATCCTTGTCCATTGGCAGGGTTGTTGGTCTTCAGTTACTGGTAACAAACTGCGTATTCTTAAAGAGTAGTGTGTCCCTGTGGCCTTCTTCCTACCACCATGACTGGTGGTGGGAAACGGCTTTGGCAATGTTGCGTATTGCCCACGCGCGCTTAACGCGCAAACGCTTAATGGAGCGCCGTCCTGCTCCTTATTGTCCTAACTGCATTGTCCCTTTTACAGGTGTGCAATATCCTTGTTGAATAGCCTGACTTTTAGGACGAGCGTGTGTCTTACTTCCCGACCGCCCCTCGCGGCCACTTGTTCCTCAATAGAATTCTTGGTGAATCGGATACTTTTAATATCGTTCACTTTATGCGTTTCAGTTCTCATATTGGCATCCTCAGTGATATTTAGCGCCCTCTGATTATCCCGCACATTTGATGGCAGCTACATAGCCTTCCCGGCTTGGTGCCTTCTTTCATAATTACTTACTTGGAAGGTCCTGTTTATTGAACCTGTAATTTTTGTGACAGTAACGTTGTTCTTTAAAAGTGAGGTCTTCTGACATGATTACTCCTTAATCTTTTACATTGGTTTTTATTTCAATGGTGTAGTTTGACTGTACAGTGTGGCCACGATTTACAATGGTAATCCATTCCCAGGCATATCGTAATTCAAAAAGATTTTTCCCATAAGAAATAAAGGTAATTGAATTTGTTCCACACCCTTAAAAATACATTTTATACTGAATACAATTTTTTCCCTAACTACAATACAGTACATATGTTTATCTTACCTTTATGGAGGACTCTTGATGGTGTATGGAAGATGGTGAGGAAGGGGAGGAGGAGAGGTGTTATTGTTTGGAAGGGGAGTCCCCTTCCATTATAACATCAGGCAGTGAGGACTTCTCTGGGGTACACACTCTGGCACGTTTTGCCTGCATACCACTAGGGCCTGCTTCTGGCTCACTGCTTGATTTTCTCGCTAGAAATCGTTCCATTGGAGATTGTTTTTCCCTTCTTTGCAACACTTGTCTGTAGTGAGACATTACATTGTCATTAAAAGAGCAATGCAATGCAGGCGATGAGTCACAATAACGTGGCTGAAGAATGTTGACAAGACCACACACTAGAAGGTGAAGGGACGACGTTTCGGTCCGTCCTGGACCATTCTCAAGTCGATTGTGACTTGAGAATGGTCCAGGACGGACCGAAACGTCGTTGTCCCTTCACCTAGTGTGTGGTCTAGTCAACATCAATGCAATGGCCTGTTACAGCTTTATCTGGGTGATTCTTTTCAGCAAAACTTTGCAGTTCTTCCCGTACTGCACACATTTTCTCAATTAACGAGGAAGAGATATCCTCTAATGCCGCCGCCGCCTCCTCCTCTGAAGATTTGTTGTACTGCCTAGCTTGTTCAACAACACGAGTATCATTTTCATGTTTACGAATTTGACATTTGAAACTGACATTTGCTAAAGACAGGTCCAAATAGGGAGGTACTGTACTGGACAGTGATCTTGCCAAACAGACCTGAAACCCAAACAACTTCCGACTTCTCAGCTAGCTAAGCTTTCTTTCATAGATCATGTTATTCCCAACTGGTATATATATCCCATTGTTCTGGATAAAGTAAAAGAATGATATAGCAATGTTTACAAAAACAACATTCTGGAACAGTTATTATGAAGAAGTGTAGTATGTCATCATCTGCTGGAAAAGCAAGTTCATCTACTACAGTCCCAGCTGAAAGATGTAGCTGCCCTAAGCGTGTACCTTATAATAAAGATGTCTGCATCTTTTGCCAGGAAACAAAATCAAAGATCCTTCATGAAGTTTGGACATTAATGCAGTAGCATATGATATGAAGTATCATCTTTCATGTTGGGTTCTGCTACAGTAAGGAGCTGAAAATGTAAGGAGAAATTTGAAAGTTCCTCACGTGAACTTGGCAGGGTAATTGCAGAATATAATGCAAAACTTCTCTACATTATTCAGAATCAGGAATTATGGACATGAAACAGTTAAACAAACCATGATACACTTATACCACACACATCAAGAGCACATTATGTGAATGATATGAGTTTATGCTGATGCTCCAGCCAGAATATAAATTCCCAACCAAGTATGGGTGGAAGGAGGAAGAGTGAAGGCTGTCACCCATATAGTGCCTTGATCCTCCTACACTACAACCTATCCTATTGCTGATAAAATGCTCATGTCAGAAGGGAAGCACCACTGGGAGATGTAGCTGCCTCAGTGGAAATTTACCATACCTTGAGGTGCTTCCGAGGCTTAGCATCCCCGCGGCCCGGTCGACGCCCATGCCCACAACCTGTGTCGTTGTGGTGAATGTGGTAACAGCAGAGGATATAAAACGCCAGACAGTGTAGGTACAGACTAAGAGAATGTGTCTGATGAAAACAGTCACTAGTAATATGTTAAAGGCATTCTTACAAAGAAAGCAATCTTCATAATTAACATGTATGTTATTCTACTTTCATAATGTTCTGAACTGCTGTATTTTTTAATGTGGCCACATATGTTCTTTTTGGTGCAAATGAAGACCAAAAGAATGACTTAAAAGTATAATTAAAATTTTGCTTCCATATTATCATAAAAATCGGCATTAATTTAAATTAAAAATTCTGTTAAAGGTCCACAATTCATATAAATACTCATGTTTCATAAAAAAATGCTACCTGCATATGGATCCTTTGGATGCCTAAAATAATACTACATATTGTAACTTCCTTTGTTGTCATTTTTGTGCCTATACTTAGCCATATTTGATGCTTTTTGGCAAAAATCTAATTTATTATTACATAAAAATCTTACAAAAAAAAATGCCAAACCCATTGGTCCTCTTTAGAACATCATTCTCTACAACACCAAAACAATAGTGTAACTTTTAACGCTTTGTGCGCACAGAATTACATATCGACCCCCACTATCTTCCCTGCCAAGGAACTGACTGGAAAATAGAGATCAGCAGCAGGGTGAACCAAAGATGATGGGTGTGGGGCCCACCACAGCTGGAGCTATAGACCACAATCTTCCATCACACTGACTCAAGGACATGGTCAAACATGGACCCAAGTTTTAGAAATGAGTTCATTTACAATATGCATTGTCCATTAATGATTGGGGGCCCTGGAGCAAAGGAATACCACCTACCAGGGCAATGAGACAGGCTGAGTGCTAGCCGGTTCAGGTAAGGGTGTGTCGTTCCAAGTGGGGCTCCCTCTTTTCAGCAGGGAAGTCCTGTATTAATCATTCTCCAACACTGGTGCAAATACCTTTTCCTCCCTTGTCCCAACCAGGCCACCCAAACCTATCTCTGAGATCAGCCCCACATGGGATACCCCTCCAGTAGGTAGTCCTATGTCCAAAACAGATACCTTATATGGTTTATTTGCAATGTAAATTGCAGAGAGGGGGCCAAGGTAACCCCACCAACCCCCAGGGAGTTGTGTGTGAGCTCCCTCCCAACAAGGTGAAACCCTTAAGGGAGCAACTCCACCAAGGTAAGTTAAAAATTTTCTTAACCTTTCTATTTTATTTCTGTGAAGATGCTGTCATAAGGAATTTTTTTATTGTATGTGGAAATATGAATTAGGTTACTTGTGGTACAAGAAAATGGTAAGTTTTTAAAACAAAATTGTCATGAATTATAAGAAATTTAGCTAATTCAAATGTCCACATGATTAAGGTTACTTGAATTAGCAAGTTGCAACACAATTTACAGTAAAGTGCATTTCCACCAATGCCTATTTGATTCCTCACATTTAGTGATATGCTCAAGGCCACTGTTATTCTTTCCCTCTGAATACTTGTGCTCTCACATTACAATTCAAATAAATAACCCAACCCATACGTCACATTCCTGAACTATTAAGCTGTGACTTGGTAAGGGTCCAGGATGGGACAAAATGATGTAATTTTCATTTCTTTTCATAGTTTGGATTGGTTTATTTATTTTCAGCCATGTTATTATGATATTCTCTGCCTACAGTTTAATCTTCAATAGAGGTGTCATTTTGCTCCATTCTCTTCCAAACGGTGACATGAGCATTTCCAATTTCTGCAAATCGGCGACACCGTGGAACATAATATGACATATTTCTTTCTTCTTCTAGTGTCCAAAATGGTTTCAAGCATTTTTTTAATAAAGAAGGAGTCAAACATTCTCCCTCTCCTCCCAGGAATTCTTCTGGCCCATTCCTCCAATTATATACATCTGATATTACCAATAACCCTCCACTGCCTACATAATGTCCAATTTCTTCCAAAAATCTTTTTGGGTTATGCATGTCTGTAAGAACATTTGAGACTACAACACAATTAAATTGGCCACAGTTATATGAGAGAGTACAAGCATCCTCATCCCAGAATATTACACGTTCCCTAGAAGCCGTGTCTGGCACTCTTATGCAGTGGAAAGAGATGTGTTTTCCGCCTTCACTTGGGAATGGAGACCCAATCTCTCCGAACTGCTTCAACTGTTGCGCAGCTATAGTCATGGAATAGCTCACATCTGTTCCCACCACTTCCCTGAAATGGCTACTGAGGTGAAATGAGAGGGCACCCGGCCCACTGCCAACATCCATGACACGTCCTTTTGTCACTTGGTACTTGTCACATACATCACTGCAGAAATGAGCCAACCGCAGGTGGTAGTTCTCGGCATCCTTTGAAATAATTTCCTTTAGCAACGGTAATTCTTCTAAGCTTTCATAATGATGAATCAGTTGTTGCTGAACTTCCTTTAGTTGATTGTATCGATCTGTGTAGGTCTTCATGATTTCTTGAGCATGATGCCATTTGTACAAGGCCCAAACAGCAATGCCAGAAGTGATTACCGCTGCACCTGACAGCATGCCCAGTGTTAGTGCCATCGCTGATGATTCTGAAATAAGTTCAGATACAACTACCTGTTCATTATGTTTGTAAAGCTGCCTACAAACTACAGTACTTGCTAATGAATGCAATATTTTTGGTATGAAATTTATGAACAAAAATTGCCATGCCTCTAATACAGTATATCAAGATTGGAGCTAGTGTCATAGATGTGAAGTCCCTAGTTAGTACTGTACTGTATAATGAAACACTCAAATTTTTCTTCACAAAATATTCATGTAATTAGGTAATTATCAGGAGAAAGCACTAAGCCATTATGACTATATTAGAAATACTGTATTCTTGTAAAATAGGGGTGTCTTTTGTAAAGGTTCATTTTATATTACAGCAAATATGGTACTGTATGTGGAATTCAAAATGTGAAATGCTTTTTAAATATTAACAATATATTTTAATGCGTATTAAAAACAAATAAATCCATCACCATAAAAAAGTCATAAACCAAAGTTGTTCTTTAAGACATTTTCTTACATCTCGTGCCTCTGTTCATCTTACAGTAAATAAGTGCCTGGGAGTCGGGGGCAACTGTGGTAGCTTGGGCCTAGTGGCGATGTTTTTAAACCTAACAGGCTACATGTCCTTGACTATGGGAAATCATTACAGGCATTTCTGGATGTGGTAGCTGGATACCAGTGACTACCCTATTAGGTTAACTGACTCTACCCTACTCGGTTAGATAAGCTTAGAATGTGGGGCAAGGATTGATTAGGTTAAATAGATTAAACTATTTCTATAAAATATAAAAATGACAAGATCTTAATAGAAGCTGGAAGGTGTACATTTTCCTTAAATTTGTGGAAGAAAACATATACAGTACACTATTACTATAAGCCCATAGCAGGCCAGTTAATCCAGAAATTGGTAATAACTATACCCACTGGTTTCTCAAATCAACCATTTTTAAGTGACAACTCTGAGGAAGCACTTTAGTCACACAAATTAGTGGATAGGTAAGGTTGATAATTAGGAGAACACATTAAGCTAGTGTGACAGCATTGGAAAGGATATGAGGATAATGAGCTGGGATATGAAGACGGAGTCAAGAAATAGTGCTCAACCACTTGGGCCATTTAGAGATTGCGTGCTAACCCTGCAAGAAGTGAGTCTATTCCTCTACTGATCAAAGTAAACAGTGGGACACTAATGTGGATGTTTCCCTTTTATTTTAGTGCCAATTGTAATACATGATATTTGGCAGTAAGAAGTGGTGAATAGGCAAGTGTCTTTTTAATATCCTTTGTGGGGGAACAGGATTAACACTATCACAAACCAGATATGATGGGGCTCATCTCATTGAGACCTTTAAAATACTGTACTGAAATTTGATGATATTAATCCAGACTACTTTAAAAGGTCAAAAGTAATACATACAAGGGGTAATAGCTTAAAGCTCAACAAGCCACAATGTAAGACAAAACAGGAATTGCTTTTTCACTAATAGAATATTATATCTGGATTCTACTACCTGCCAAAGCTATAAATACTAAGACATTACTTCAGTTAAATATTAAAGTAGAAAAAATCCTTTGGAAACAATGAAGTGATCTTTGACAAGTCATCAGCTTCCTATCACCACCGAAGCCACTAAAAATTATAGCCCTCGGTAAATTCGCGTAAGAGTAACTAACGTTCTTTCACTATACTGTATTGCTCTTATATTTTCTCCAGGCTCCAGCACCATGAAAGCAGAAAATCTGTTAATAATGACTATCAAATGTTTTTATTTAAATTATGTTATTCAGTAATAGGATATCCCCATTTGTTTTTTAGGGAGAACAGTGAAACTCTGTAATACAGTAATAGGGAAATCTTTGACAAGCTGAAAGCTTACTGTCCTTGCTGAGACCACTAGAGATGGTGATCCTCAGGTAAATTTAAGTAAGTAATTTGTTAAAATTGCATTGGTAGGATAAAAATAAAACATACAAAATAATTATAATATGAATTATTTTAGTATGTTCTTTACTGGTATTCAATATATTTACCTAAGGATTGACGGATTCTTTTGAATCAAGATTAATTTATGCAAATCTACTAAAATTTGGATAATTTATGACATATACAGACAAACTTACACTTCTTCGCAAAATGATGTGTAGCGTAGCTTAATTGATGTTCTTATGCTTTATTCTTCTCAATGGTACAATATATGCAATTTCTATCATCAGCTCCTTTATGATTATGCTCACACATACAACAGGAAAGTCTTTTTTCTTATGATGAACCCATATGTGCAGCTGGAAGGTTCACTTCCTGATGGAGTGACACAAGCCAGCTGATTATGTGAACATTTAGCAGTGATGGATGGACATTGTGCTGATGATGGCTAACAATCAATGGCAGGAGTTGATTGATAGCAGTTAATAATCTCACCAACCCATTATACCTTCTTGCAAATAAATTATTTATTATTATTCTACATTGGCAGTAGTTGGTCACGTTTTAGTGGATGTTTGGAGTTGACAACTGACAGTTGATAATTCTTGTTTGTAAGGACTAATGGAGTTTGTTGATTTAGAGGCTTGTTGTAGGCGGCATTGATTTAACAAGTACTGGATGTGCCCCGGTGTTCCCTTGTAGGGTCAAATTCAAACACTTGCATTTACATACTTGTCACCTATCGATATAAACTTAACGTGTCATATGACAGATAAACACTTGTAGGCAGATGCTTAGTGAGCTAATGGCGTCGCCTGTGAAGGCGAGCAACACAAAGCCACCCCGCACACAAAACTAACGCAGGTGTCTAATGATGTCCAATTGGAAAACAATTTTTTTTCCGACAAAGCAGGAACCAGAGGCCCGCCACGCCCTGAGAGTACAACAGTTCACCAAGACCTTCCAACTTCCGGTACCCTTCGGCCAACCTGGCGCCGTACACAATCTCAGCCCAAAAATACAGTTATCGCTTCCCAGTGATCTCGGGCGATAAATGTACCAGGCGTCGTATCAATCCGGCCCTTTAAAAAGGAATATTTGACGACAGTATCGAGACCCACTGGTCTAAATCGCATCACTTGTTCTGGTGGTCCCAAGCTAAGCAGGCGTCCAGACACCCGCACGTCGTCAAGGTTGTATTCAGCTGAGGGGCGTTGTGTTGATTTAGGGGCGGCGCCGCGACGGCTGCAGTGTTGATAGTCACTTCAACTCCCGGGTCTGGCGTCCCGCTTTCTATGATGTCTGACGGTTCAAAAAAAATAAAAATGTGTAAATTTATTTAAATATATTGACAAATATGAATATTATATAATTATAATGATATTATATACCAAAACACATAATACAACTTCACCTATTAACATTTTTAGAGTTTGCAAAATAGACAATAACAAATGTGTCGCCACCTGACTGACGCCCCTAAATCAACACAACAATTTTAGTTGGATGGAATATTGATTTACATCTTTTTTAACATTAGTAATAGAATTGTCACTAATTTCTGAAGAGTAGCAAATAATGTTATTTTACCGTCACAAAATCTCATAGTACATAACTGTAATTTATTCGGCCTTAGGATGGGTATTTATTCATCTGTGGTCCGAACTCCGCCCCTAAAAGATTGAAGAATTATTTCATCATGTGTCCAAGGTATTTTAAGTTCTGTATATTTACTCAAATGACTACTCAAGTGTGTAGTCTGTTATAGTAATACTTTAAATTACAAGGATAATGGTAAACTTTATCCTCTAACAAGAATTGGTAATTAAGAGAAGCAGTAAATGGCATCTCACCAGTACGAAGGTCACCAATATAATGGCTGATTATATTCTGGCTCTCCACCACTCCTGGCACTCATACTGCACTTACAAGTGAGATATTACATATTACTAATTATATATTACGATAATTAACATACTCTTGTTCAACACAATCTGACAACACAGGACCTCTCGGTCAACTATATTGTCCAGCCTGTCTCTTAGCATACACGATAGAAGCTCAATAATTACCCTTTTGGGGAAAGCAAGCCTGTCAGGCCTAGCGAGGTACCCTTAAGCGAACCACCCCAAGCTGCAACCCACAGCAGTTGCCCAACTCCTAGGTATCTATTTACTGATAGGTAAACAGTGTCATTAGGTGCAAGGTCTTCCCTATGCTAACTACTGACCTTTCCCAGGACGCCACCCACAGCAGTTGCCTAATTCATGGTCTCCAATTTTTCTGCTTTGTGACAGGAAATGTGCACAACCATTTCTGGCTTGCCTTGGGACAGAACCCAGGTCCCTGGGTTGTGAACCGAAGATGCAGTCACCATGGCGCAGTGGTAAAACACCTGCCCGGCACTTTGCAAATGCTTTGGCCTGGGTTCATATCGTGACCGGGGAGGATTAACAGGTGTCAATCTTAACTGTAGCCTCTGTTTACTCGGCAGTGAATGAGTACCTGGTTGTTAAATTATTTGGCGGGTCATATTCCAGGGAAAATGTGGATTAAAAACCTGCCTGAAATACTATGCGTGCTAGTGGTTGTAGAAGAATGCAACAACTCTTGTATATAAGAATAAATAAATATACTGTATGTAGAGCAGTGAGTTGCAGGCAGCACCGTACACCGTACAGCACCGTACACCGTAATACCTAGCACAGATACAGTATTTGCCACATATTTTAAATATACTGTAGTGACCATTTTAGGAAATATGCAATGCTTACCGAGGAATACCTCAAGAATCAATAATGAACCTCGTGTTATTTATATAAATTACATTGTATACCTATGAATACTCCACTGTATCATATTTCAAATGTATTTAATATAAAATTAAAATTGTATTTAATGTAAAAATTATTAGTATTGATTTTATTATATTACATGCAAGCACATAAGGAATTTTACAATAATTTTATTCCATTTCCAAAATACTTAGTGACCCAAAGTCCTATATCAAACATATATGCACAGTCCTTAAAGTTTGGTAATAGTAATTCATTACTCAAAGGCTTCTCCTCTTACTGTTGAAGACCTGACAAAAGCTTGACCTGTCTATAATAATATTTCATTTTGTCAGGGAACAGGTAGCCAGTGTATAATTATACATAATGTTAGAATTATATCGAGGACCTCCCCCATCCCCCCTCCCGGGTCAAACTACTGATCCTTCCCAGGATGCAACCCCACAAAAAGCTGACTAACTCCTGGGTACCTATTTACTGCTAGGTGAACAGATGCATTAGTTGATTGGAAACATGCCCAACAATTTCTGCCCTGCTCAGGATTTGATCTTGGAATTCCTGATTGTGAGTCGTGAGTCAAGATTGAACCTGACTGTACTACCATGATCCAAATGTCATCACTACTCTTTAAACAATCCTAACCTAATGCAAACTATCCCAATCAAACTAAACCAAACTTTACCTAGCAAAAATAAGAGATAACATTTTGTATTTTATATATAGTATGTATTAAATGGGTGACTATCACAATGACATCATAATTTTAATACTCAACTCAATCAACAAGAAACATGAATATGAAAAGAAAGTTAGGATTGGCCTAGTTTCAAGGGAAGTAGCTAAAAGGTACTCATCAATGCTTACCAGTATCATAAGAAAGGCAAAACTTGCATATTATGTGAATAGATTCAATGAAGCAAAAGGCAACATGAAAAACACTTGGAAAACTATCTCTAGTATCCTAGGAACTAAACAACACTCACATAACCAAATAAAACTCTACAAGGATGGGGATATACCGTCAACTGATTTAGAAATGGCAAATGAATTTAATAGTTTCTTTTCATCGGTTGGTGCTAATCTTGCCAGTAAAATCCCACAGACTCAGACACATATTAACACATATCTCTCAGGCAGCTATCCAAACTCTCTTCTCCTTTCACCAATCAGCCCGGCAGATGTTGTGTCCATCATACACTCTCTAAAAACCAAGGCAGGGAACACCAGTGAAATTCCGTCCATTGTGTACAAGAGAGCCTCCCATGCCCTTGCCCCACCCATAGCACTACTGTTCAACAAATCTATAGAGTGTCACACCTTCCCTGATATCCTCAAAAAAGCAAGAGTAACGCCAGTCCATAAAGGAGGCAATCCGGCGGACATAAACAATTATAGACCAATATCAAATCTACCCATTCTATCAAAAATATTTGAAAAAATTATTTACAAACAGCTCTATTCCTACCTCGTAAAATTCGACATACTCAGCCCCTGCCAGTTTGGCTTCCGGTCCCAAAAGAGTACCAATGATGCAATCATTAGTCTCCTTGACATTATCTACTCAGCCCTTGACAAAAATGAGTTTCCGATTGGACTCTTCATTGACCTAAGAAAAGCCTTTGATACTGTTAATCACAACTACCTCTTACTTAAACTCCAGCATTATGGAATCCGAGGCCTTGCCCTTGACTACATCCGATCCTATCTTAGTGACAGACACCAATATGTAACCATCAATGATACAACTTCTTCCACTCTACCAATTACCGTTGGAGTGCCACAGGGCAGCATCTTAGGACCTCTTCTATTTCTTATATATATAAACGATCTGCCTAATGTCTCTAATATTCTCAAACCTATATTGTTTGCTGACGATACTACCCTTATCTACTCAAACCTCAACCCACATACACTAAATAATGTTGTGAATAATGAATTAAAAAAAGTCCACTTATGGATGTCAACGAACAAACTAACATTAAACATCGAAAAGACTTACTACATCTTATTTGGAAGCAAATCATCAAATGCAATTCAGCTACAGATAGACAACATTAACATCAGTAATAAAAATGATGGCAAGTTTCTTGGCCTATTCCTAGACAAGAGACTCAACTTCAGCACCCACATTCAACATATAACTAAGAAAGTCTCTAAGACAGTTGGTATACTCTCCAAAATCAGATATTATGTTCCTAACTCTGCTCTCCTCTCACTATATTATGCACTAATCTACCCCTATCTTAATTATGGTATCTGTGCATGGGGGTCTACCACTGCAAACCACCTTAAGCCCATCATCACACAGCAAAAATCTGCTATCAGAATAATAACTAACTCTGCTTTCAGACAACACTCAGCTCCCTTGTTTAAATCTCTAAACTTGCTAAATATTAACTCCCTCCACACATTCTCTTGTGTCAACTACATTTACAAAACCCTGTTCTTAAATGCAAACCATGCTCTGAAACTCTCCCTGGACAGATGTAATAGGACCCATTATCACCACACCAGAAATAAATATCTCTTTGATACTGTATCCCCAGGGTCAAACTTAATCTGTGTAAACACTCTATGCAAATTAAGGGACCTAGTCTATGGAACTCACTCCCTAGTGAATTGAAAAACTGTAAAACTTTTGCCTTATTTAAAAGCAAAACCAAAAGTACCTAACTTCATCTATTTAGTTTCCTACACTGAGCTTTAAATTTGCTCTGTACCTAGTGGTACCCAATCTCCTAATTTTTATGTAATATCAAACAACCTTATCATTGTGTTCATTGCTGTCTTCTTTTATGTGCTAGCCATATGCTGTATTGTGACTACCAATTTTTGTCAACTACCATTCAAGCTGTCATTGCAATCAATCTTATATTGTTTCTGCTGTATTGTGCCTACCAATTTGTTGTCAACTACCATTTTAAGCTGTCATTGCAATCAATCATAGCTACCTATGTGCTTTAATATACTGTACCTATAATTTTCTCTCATCTTTTTTTTTTTCATTCCATGTAATCTGTTATCATTTTTTTGTCTATAAATTTTGCAAGTATTTACCTCCTTAAAATTTTCTTAGATTAAGGACCTGCCCGAAACGCTGTGCGTGCTAGTGGCTTTACAAGACTGTAATTACCATAATTGTATCCTCACATTCCTTATGTACATTCTTGTATATGCATAAATAAATAAATAAATATGTTTTGGATACTTCTAAATTAGACTAAAACTGTAAAAGTGCTGCATTTTCTATGATATGATCTGCTCTCCAAGATGCACAGAGCAGGTACCCTCCATCTTAGGCAAAGATCCAATTGTGAGGCACTGACCTATTAGGATACAAGTCACACAAGTTGTACAGTTGCACAACAGGTATGAGCAGCAGTCAAGAAAGCTAACCAAACAGTTGGAATGATCAAGCATACCTTTGCCTTTAAGGAAAAGAAGGTAGTGATTTAATTGTTTAAATCTCTGGTGTACCCTCATTTGAATTACTGTATCCAAGCCTAGAGACCACATCTTCAGAAGAACATAGATACTCTGGAGAAAGTGCAGCACCAGGCAACAAAAATCATTCCAGAGCTGAGTCAACTCACATATTAGGAACAGTTGACAGTCACAGGGCTAACAACACTGCAAACCAGGCATGACAGGGCAGATCTTATTGAAACTTTTAAAATACTGAGCAATTTGGAGGATATTGGTCCAGATTTTTGTTTCAAATGGTCAGATGTAATACAAACAAGGAGCAATGGTTGCAAGTTCAACAAGCAACAATGTAGGACTGAGGATAGGAGATGCTTTTTAACACACAGGAATATAAACCCATGGAACTGCTTACCTGCTAAAGCCATAAATGCCAAAATGCTGTTAAATTTTAAAATCCAGCTGGAAAAGATCATCAGGGCAAGTGGGGGGACCTTTGACAAACTGCCAGCTTCCTGTCATCGAAGCCACTTGTGTTAGTGGCCCTCTGGTAAGTTTAGGTAAGTCCAAGGGAAGCTGTTCTATTTGGATACTTAACTTTACTGAATAGACTTGTTTCATAGAACTCCATATACAGTAATGTAATGTTGATTTAGTTGAAAAATTATGTAATAAGAAAGACCTCTGTAATTATAAAATGGTTAGTTTTTATGTAACTTCTTTATTCACTAACATTCCAGTTGATGACTTACTAAGATTTTCATCTGATGAGCTGTTAACATATAAGGCCTTCCAGTTCCAATATTAATAGAATTGATAAAACTGTGTGTTATTAGCTCTAATTATTATTTTAAAAATTAATTCTATTGTAAAAAAATTGTAGTGGCTACGGGTAACCATCTTTCTCCAGTTTTAAGCAATGTATACTGGTATATGGAATTCTATTAAATTAAGACTTAGGTAAAAATTTTGCCTCCTAATGTTACATGGTTCCATTATATTGATGATGTGTTTTGCTTATGACCTAAGAATAGAAACCTGGACACATTTTTATTATAATTTAATAATGTAGCCCCATCCATTAAGTGTACAATGGAAATGGAACAAGACAACTCTTTACCATTCTTAAGTGTGCTAACTTATGAATGTAAAATAATTTCAACTTTTCTGTATATAGAAAACCAACAACTGTTGGGTCTTATGTACAATTTTACTCATCATCAAAGAGTAAAACAAGCCTTATTTTCTTCTATGTTCTTGAGGGCTCTAAGGATATGTAATCAGTCAATTGATGATGAAATTAGTGCAAATATAGTCTAGGTTTCAATTTAAAATACTCTTAAGTCATTTACTGCTATGTGTGTTAGTGGCTTAGCTAGCATGTAAGAACACCAATGTTATGTACTCTCAAACCCAGTGTACCTTCTTGTACTGTATATAAAGAAATAAATAAACAAAATATTGTTAAAGCCAGCCAAATTGCTCATAACACTTTTTTTCAGTTTAAAAAGGAAAGAAGAATTCGGTCTTAAGGATACAATAATTCTGCCATTTCATGATAATTTAAATGAAATCTCTAAATTACTAAAACTATTTAATATCAGTGTAGCATTTAGGAATCTTGATATAATAAAAAACACTTATTAAAAATTCCCTGGCAAGGTTGGTGAAACCATGGGTTTATTACCCAGTGGGTGTATAAGCATCTGTTTTCTGCCTTATATTGTGGCTAGTTAAACTTGAAGCTGTTACCCCTTGTGAGAGTTACATTGCAACTGAGTTAAGCTTGAAGTTGTTGCCCCCCCCTGTGTGAATTACATTGTGGCTTATTTAAGCTAGAAGCTGATACCCCTTGCATGAGTTACATTGTATCTTGTTAAGCTTAATGCTGTTGCCCTTTTTTGTGAGTTACATTGTATCTTCTTAAGCTTAATGCTGTTGCCTCTTGTGTGAGTTACATTGTATCTTGTTGAGGTTAATGCTGTTGCCCCTTGTGATAGTTACAATGTGGCTTGTTGAGCTTAATGCTGTTGCCCCGTGTGTGAGTTACAATGTGGCTTGTTGAGCTTAATGCTGTTGCCCCGTGTGTGAGTTACAATGTATCTTGTTGAGCTTAATGCTGTTGCCCCTTGTGTGAGTTACAATGTGGCTTGTTGAGCTTAATGCTGTTGCCCCTTGTGTGAATTACAATGTGGCTTGTTGAGCTTTGTTACCGTTGCCCCCCTTGTGTGAAATACAGTAATCATGATGCAATTCCCTATCTTTGTTGCCTCTCATTGACTGTTTACCCCTCAAATTTCTCCCAATAATATTGCATATATCATATCTTCTCTCTTTTTTTTATACTAATTATCTATAAATTTAATACATAGTTTGGATTTTTCAACTTTTTGGCTATGCCTCAGCATGTTGCCAATCAAACTTGTAAAACAATCATAACCTTTATATATATTTTAAATTTGTGATTTTTGTAAATGTAATTTTTCACATACACAACACCAAGTCTTTTGTTTCCTTTGGTCCATGTATATTTTGGTGGGAAAACAGTGAATGATTTTCCCATTGTGTGACAGTTGTTTTGTTATCAGAAAGATGCACTTGCCCATGACACATGCTGCTGTAGTTTCAATTCTCACTACATATACTTAATGAGCTGCACTTGGCTTTCCATCTGTTCAGTTTTTTAACATTCACTCAGTACTTCCAACTTTATTAGTACTGTAGTGGTGTTCATTCTCAACTCACAGTTTCGGATCATGGGTTCGATCCCCAGATAGGACAGAAATAATTGGGCACGTTTCTTTTCACCTGAGGCTTTTGTTCACCTAGCCATGTATCCAGGCGTTAGGCAATAGCTGTGGGTTGCATCCTGGGGAAGGTTATTAATAATAATTCATTGTGTCGGGGGACAGGCATCTAGTTTATACTCACAGTATTTGTTAGGCTTATATCGAGGTACCCCTCCCCCAGGGTTGAATTACTGACCCTCCCCAGAATGCAACCCCTCAACAAGCTGACTTATTTCTGGGTACCTATTTACTTCTAGGTGGACAGGGACATTAGGTGATAGATAACGCGTCCAACCATTTCTGTCCTGCCCAGGATTCAAATTTGGAATTCTTGATTGTGAGTCAAAAATGAACCCGATTGTACTACCAGGACCCTTAATTCTACCTAGGAGGGGGTTCCTCCTAGGTACAATACAAGCCTAACTGCTGTTCACGCTTCCTATCCCGAACAACTTGAATTACTGTACCATAAGTGCTCTAACTAAAGTGCTGAAATTATTAACAGTGAAGCATTACAAGGTTCAGTGCATCCTGTGTTTCTCTATAGTTTGTATAATAATATGTATGAATGGTAAAATTAAGAAAATTAATGGAATTAAGAATAACGAATGGGATTAAGAATAAAGAATGGAATAAATAACAACTAATGTAGTTAAGAACAACTAATAATTAAGAATAATTAATATTTAAGAACATCTAATTGAATTAAGAAGATCTAATGGAATTATGTGTAAGAGAAATAAGTAAAACAGAAAAAAATGTATAACTGATAGAACTACATAAGACTGTTGGTGTTAATGATGTAAATGCTGCATTAAACTGTACGACCAGAGCTTTCTAGAAAATGTTGTCAGCTGTGGAGATGAGCACAATATTCCCATCATTATACAGTGTCTGTTTCAAGGCCAAACTGCTACACTACTATCTTATCAATGGCAAATATGCATTTTCTACTCTGGCTCCTCAGTAGCTCCAGTTAACTATCGAGGGGTCTCACCAGAATGAGACGTATCATTACATTCAATGCTGGATTTTTCTCAAACTGGTTCTCGGAGATGCTGCAAATCATCTTCCAGGGAAACCTAGTAGGGTAGGGCCTAAAATAATCTGTGTAAAGGAGAGCATCAAGCCTGCTAATAATGGTCAATCTTGTCCCCAACTTTGTTAAAAGAAGGTATCATATCATCATCTGAAATCTTAACAATACAGTACCTGCAAAATTAGGTCAATACAACCCATACTTATAATTGCAAAAAACAAGTCGATACCGCTCATACCAATAACTGAAAAAACAGGTTGATACCACTTATACCAATACTGTAACTGGAAAAATTGGTCAATACCAGTACTGTAACAAACTGCAAAACAGGTCAATACTACCAATACTGATAACTGCAAAAAATAGGGCAATACTACTAATATTGATAACAATAAAGATAAGTTGATACCACTGATACAGTACCAATAACTGCAAATGTAGGCTGATACCACCAATGACAATAATTGTAAAAGTAGGTCAATACCACTAATGCTGATATAGTAACTGCCATTCTAGGTCGATACTACCAATATCTCTTAAGTGCAAATAAGTTGATACCACCATAACAGTGCAGTACAGTACAGTAATTGCAAAAATAGGTCAATAACACTGATACTAATAACTGCAAAGATATATCAGTACCATTGATACTGATAAAGTAACTGTAAAAAGAGGTCTATAATTATACCAATACCACAACATCAGTACACCTCTACACTGCACTCCCTTAAGTTATTACACTTTCTGCACCTTCAGTAGGGACTCGGAAGTACATATTTTGAACATATTTTGTTGAAAACGACAAAGTTTTAGATTTAAGATTCTGGCACAAATCTTCTTGATATTACTTATGTTTTTCTTCACTGAAGCAGGAAGTTGAAAAATTAACTCTCCAAAGTTCATTTTTACCTGCTATTTGGGCCTGACGCCTAATGATGCGTTTCGTAAGGTCTCACCTCACATTCTCAAAGACAAATTCTACTGTGTTAGCACCTGGTTATATACTCTTATGGTGAGGTGGCAAGGTGACATATGGATGAATGACAGTACATGGGTATTAATAAGGTATTCACTGTATCAGCATAGAGTGTGACATGTTGGCAGCTTATGTTCTTCTGGTTGTTACGTTCCTGTTGCAGGGTCATTCGGTCCAGCTTCTATATTAGTATAATATCTAGCAGTATTATAAAGACTGCTAGAACAGTTTAGAAGACTACTAGGATGACTTAAGAGGAAGACCAAGAGCATGGCTAAAATAAGAAGAGGGTGTTTAACGGAGTAGTCATAATTTTAACCCTTACACTACTCCAATCATCTGCAATTACCTCCTGTGCACACTTCACCATACGTGAATTTTTACACTTGATTTGTTGACTATTTTTTGTCATGTGTGCCATAATATAGTACAGTACTGTACTGTACTGTACTTTTAAGCAGCTGAGCAATTAGCTGTTTAAAAGAACAGTATTGTACAGTATTTCAAACAGTACTATTTGAAAGAACAGAACAGTATACTGTTCTGTATGGAATGAACAGTTTTGCATGATTGATGACAACTTTTATTAGTTTCAGAGCAGGCAGCTATGAAGTTCTTAACTCCTGAACAAAAAAAGTTTTATGATGACAATGGGTATGTGGTAATAAATGTTTTATCCGAAGAGGAAAAAGATGAGCTTAGTACGGAATATGACAGACTTTTCGAGTCAAAAAGGGAATATGAGTTGGAAGCTTCATGGCAGGGGGACTGGAACACCAAGAAAGAAAAAATGGTAAGTAAAGATTTTAAAAGTTGTTTTCTGGGTAGATCAACACATCTAGTATGCCAGAGACCATCATGTTACTTACATAAGTCAGAGTTTTCAAGTGTTGCTTCTTGGTTGTTTTCTTCTGTAGCAACTACAGTACATTAGAAATAATGTAGTAGCTACTTAAACATTCAAGGACTCCTACATACTACAAATAACATCAGCATTTATTCCCCAAGAATTCCACGTGATACAAATGACATTTCCAAAGAATTCCATGTGCTACAAATGAAATCAAGGACTTTCCCATCAACCAATTAACCCCCAAGCTGCTAAAGGCTATTTGGCCTTTGTCACCCACAGGTGCATAAAAAGAAAAAAGAAAAAAAAATTCTTCTCTTATAAACCTGTTAATTTGTGTTCCCTGATCATGGGATAAATAATAAAAAAATCGTAAATGGTATATTTTGGCTGCAATAGGGCAGGGAAGTCTGGCAAAAAAGAGGCGCTGACAGATCATGCATCGGAGGCGGTCTGATCAACCCCAGCTGTCAGGCGGGTGTTGCCACAAAGATATAATTACCTAATTATTTCAATGTCTCTGATTAATTTTTTTCTAAATTTTTTGCTGTAATATTATTCAATAGTGTGTAGTGTGATATATTTATATAATAAAATGTGTGAATCATCACTGTACTCAAAATTATGGTGTGCATATTATTGTGTTCATAAAACAATAAACAAATACAGTACTTTGTCGGTTATTACACAATATACACAGGTTATATATAAGTATCTGCATGTTTTTTTCACCATAACGAACCACTAAGTTCATATTGCGAGTCAAAAAGCAACGAGGAGTGGCCACCATATCTGCCAGCCAACCTCTCACCGCCACTCCCTCCCCTCAATGACTCCTCACTCGCCCACATCCTCCTCCCACCATACTGGTTTTTCTTTTATTCACTATATACAGACGTTATATATAAGTATCTACATGTTCTGTTCACCATAACTGTTCATCTAAGCTGGTATAGTGCACAAAGAGCATAGTGGCCACCCTTACACAGCATGACAAGTCAGGGTGATGATGCCGCCTCCCTCACCAAAATGGCTTCTCCCAACACTCCTTTTGCTGTTATTACACTATATGTACATGTTATATATAAGTATCTACATTTGTGTTCACCATAGCGAACCACTATCTTGTATAGTGACGGCAGACAGTAACAGGTGGCCACACACAATTAATGCTCCCTCCCTCCCTCCCTCCCTGGTTCAAAGCCAGAGGCACTAACATTCCTCCTTCAAGTATACTGTTTGTGGTGTTATTACCCTATATACAGATGTTATATATAAGTATCTACATGTTCTGTTCACCATAACTGTTCATCTAAGCCGGTATAGTGCCCAAAGAGCATAGTGGCCACCCTTACTCAGCATGACAAATCATGCAGATGTTGCCACCTCCCTCACCAAAATGGCTTCTCCCAACACTCCTTTTGCTGTTATTACACTATATATACACACGTTATATATAAGTATCTACATTTGTGTTCACCATAACGAACCACTAAGTTGGTATGCTGAGTGGCAGTGGCAGTCTGTGGCAGCCCGCCACAGGAGTCCATGTACACTACATCTACTGGCAGTCCTTTGTCTGTAGTTGGTTACTGTTTCTAAAAACATGGGCAGGTTAGGCAGGATTTGTTTATTCCAAGATTGTGCAATGTCAGATAGTGACTGGTTTCCTCCCTTAGGATTTTCTCCATGAGCCTGTAATACATGAGCTCAGTAGTCCTGTATGTTTTGAGTCTGAAATTTTAGTATCAGCACATCTTTACTTTGGCCATCAGATTTCCATATCAGTCTTGATTTGGGTTTTAAAGATAACTGTTTATGCTTATATTGGTATCAGGTTTTATTGGTGTTGAATAAATTTAGGCTTATTTTGTGTCATATTAATGAATTTGTAGCCATTTAGTACATACGGTTCTATAAGTACTTTTAAACGGAATTATATTAAAATGATTTCATATTTTAAATAGGAAGTGAAGTCTATCCATGGACTTCAGATGCACTCAAGTGTCTTTACACATTTGCTACTGAACAAGAAAATGTTGGATGTCTGTGAAGATTTGATGGAAACTCCAAATATTTTGTTGCACCATACCAAGGCTCATACCAAGCCACCTGGTACTGGCTCACCCTTTCCCATGCATCAGGTAAGCCCATTTTAAGCTTACATCAAGCTTCTTGTCTCCAGCTACCCTTCCCTGCAAATCCAATAGGTCTTAACTATGCCCCCTCTAGCACTAACTTTCTCAATTTACCTTTCTCAATGATCTAAATAAACAAATATGCACAGAGTGAATTGCCATATGTTTATTAATTCATCATCCACAGATTTGCACTTTTGCTCTCAAAGTATATTGGCTATTTGGTCTATTGATATACCAGATCTCAAAATTGTGTTACTGCTTGCCTATATACAGGATTATGTAGCAGAAATACAATGAAAAAATTAAAATATTTGCCCGAAATGCTATGCGTACTAGTGGCTTTAGGTATTGTATGTACTACCTCTATCTTTAAATCTAACAGAATGTTTGTACTGTAACTCTGCAACTATGTATGTACTGTTCCTAAATAAATTATTATTATTATTATTATTATAAAATTAATTAAAGGCTAATTGTAAGCATAAACACAATACATTACATAATTTTTAGTTCTCTAGTGTAGTTTAGTGTAAGGTTTCCTTAGGCTAACTGCTGATCTAACACAAGATGCAACCCACAACAATTGTCTATCTCCTGGATACCTAGTTGCTGCTAGGTGAAAGGAAAGTCTTCGTGGCGTAGTGTTAAGACACTCGCCTGGCGTTCCGCAAGCGCTTTGTCCTGGGTTCGTATACTGGCCGGGGAGGATTTACTGGGTGCAAATCCTTAACTGTAGCCTCTGTTTAACTCAACAGTAAAATAGGTGCTTGGTTGTAAAAACGATTCTTCGCGGGGGTCGTATTCTAGGGAACATAGGATTAAGTAATTGCCCAAAACGCTATGCGTACTAGTGGCTGTACAAAAATGTAACAACTCTTGTATATGTAAATAAAAAAAAAAGAGTCATACTGACAAGAACTAAGCATATCATGTTTAATTAGGCAGGAGAAATTGTCTTTTTACATCAGTTTCTTAAATATTTTAGATAATACTGTATGTGGTTGTTTGAATTTTGTCTATAAGGTACTGTATTGTAATTACACTTAGGTAACTATATCTAGGTAATCACATGTACACAATTAGTTGTTTTATCGTGTACTGTATTACTATATACATGAAACCGTTTTATGGCTTCGTTGCAGGATTACCATTATTTTCCCTTTGAGAAGGACTCTATGATAGCAGTATTCATCAGCTTGGATGCAGCAGATCCGGACAATGGTGGTCTGTGCGTGTACCCTGGTTCTCACAAGCTAGGACCCCAGGAGGACATTAGCACTGCTCCAGGATATCATTACCTGAACCAGGACAAATTCTCCATTGACAAGGCCACCCCACTCACACTAGAGAGAGGACAAGTACTTCATATTCTCATGTTCTTTATTTAAGAGGGCATATTTTTGTTGCAGATGATAGCAACATTACTGGGAGGGATACTAATTAGTATTTAAAGGGTGCTATTTTTTGTCAGGTACCTATTTACTGCTATGTAGACAGAAGAATTAGGTGAAAGGAAAAATGCTCCCAAAGGGGCTGAGCTAGCCCCTTTAGAAGCTTCTCATTGTCTCCTTCCTGCAGTGCTTTACTGTACACAGATATACATATTGGATGACTTATCCAAGGAAGCAGCAGCCAGAAGAGTTGGACCCAGGACAGCAGATTCCAAGCGGAAGTTATACATCCAAAAGCCACACATTGCAATAGGAATGAAGAAGGTCTGGATAATAGCTAGAGGTAAAAGTATGATTTGACCTCCACAAACCTCAGGCCTAAATGTTGGCCATTGGCATAGCATAAAGAAGGCTAACAAAGCTGCATTCTACCTTATGACATTAATATAATTATTATTTAATTATTATGATTAATAATTATTGATCATTATATATATTTTTTGTATTCAGTGGTGACACTGAAAAAAATCAGACAATTTTCTTAATACAGGTGTAAAGAAAATTATGAAAATAAAATAAAAAAAATTTAGGCCCGTATACAGTATTATACTGTAGATAGAAAATAAAGATATTGTATAGAGCTATAATGGAAGTGTTGCAGTGAACTGCTTAATCACTTGATGAACGATGTGAGATTGTCTAGTCTTAATGTTGGTAGCAATGTCCAAGGATTAATAACTAGAACAGGCTAGTTACAACACTTGTTAGCCCCATGCATAACAGTGGACTGCAGCAACTGAAGATTGGGTTACAGATGTTAGGACAAACAAACAAGACCTCCACTAAAAAAGAACCTTGGCAGAAAGCTGATGACTCGTTCTTAACCCTGTCCACCTCTCATTCCATCAAAATTTGACAGAAATGGGAGACATACTCCAAATGTGAATGACATTGAAGATTAAACCTTGAGAAAACAGAATTCTACCACCAAAGAGGAAAAGAATAAGTGAACCTTCCCTGTTCAGGCAGTGAACAGTGAGAATTAGTCCAATTGGAGACATTGCTAAGCCCCATGAAACTGGGGCCTGGCACAACTGTTTCTCAACTTCACAACTGAAAAGCAGTTCTGTATTCTCAGACACAACTGCTTCTGTGCAGTTCTGTGTCTGAGAACTACACAGAAGCACCATCCAGGCTTCAACCAACTCTCTCACAATACTATGGGCACACCACAGTGTCGGACCCCATTGACCATGTCCGGCACAGCCCAGGGCCAACATGTCCATGACCAGCTCAAAGGACATATCTAAGGAACCACCACATACCCGAACCCCCCAAAAAATCTGAAGAAAATGCCAAAACAAGAGAGCCTGAAAAAGGATCATTACTCACACATGACACTGATACATCAGCACCACTTCCTCCTGTAGCCCCAGAATCCTCTAAGAGACCATACTCGATGGAGACCAGGCAAGTTGGGTTAATCAAAGTGACATTATGTAGTTATTTATCTACTATACCAAGTACAAGTGTAGTATTAATCTCACATATTTCTTCATACTAATTAAGCCAATCATGTATGTTGTCATCGTTAGTATCGAGTATTGTAAATGATTCTATTTATTTTATTTATGTATAATAGTTGTCAGTAAAGCTACATAATCTAAAATAAAGTAGTTTACACCTTTAGCATTATCTCTCTAGAGATGTTAACGTATTCTCATAATATTAAGTACAGTACAATACTGTATTACTCTAAATCTGTAATATTTAATGCATATTAATCATAAGGTGTGCCCGAAATGCTATACATAATTAGTGGTTTAATTAAATATATAAATATCTACTAATTATTGTAACCTGATCCTTTGTAATTTTTTAAAAATAATATTTTTATTATTAGAGAAATTATTATTTGTATATTGCAAACAGTTGAATCATCTTTGCAGTGTTTGGATACAATGTCATATGTACTCTTATTATATCAAATATAAACAAGTCCTTACATTAGATGCAGTATTCTTTCTCTGAAATAGGTTGTGATCTTCTCGTACCTTCTGGTGCATGGCTCATATAACAATACAAGTGACCGAGTCCGGCGGATGTTCCTCATACAGTTAATGTCTGCTGATGATGTTCCTTCAAAACAAGTTCACCTTTCTGACTGTCAGGGAATGGTCCTTCGTGGACGATGCTCATCCAGGGAGGCAGACATCAAGAGTCGTCACAGGAAGTATATGGAGCAAGAAGAAAAAGCTAATAAGATGTAAATAAACAATTTGCATTGTTTTCTTCAGAATATTACATATTATAATTTTAAAACTTTATTGACTATTATTTACCTGAATTTATATGAGAGCCATCACCTCTTAGTGCCCTCAAGGATGAAGAAAAGGACCTTTGAGTGAGAATCCATAAATCACTGAAAGTTTCACAAGAGGGAGCTGCTTTAAAAATAGCCAACCAAATGATTTGATTTGGTTGCCTAGAGAACAAGATTCAAATCTAAAGGATAGTCAAATCCTTTGATTTCAGGGAAAAGAGGGTAATTATTCAACTGTATAAATTTCTTGTGAACCCACTCTACATGATTTACCTGAGGGGCCACTAACCCTAGTAGTCTCAATGAGGACAGGAAGCCAGTGGCTTGTCAAAGGTCCTTCCATTTGCCTTGATGATCTTTTCCAGGTATATTTTGAAATTCAACACAGTTTTGGCAGGTAGGCCGTTCCATGGGTTAATAACCCTGTGAGTGAAAAAGCATCTCCTGTTTTCTGTCCTACATTGTGGCTTGTTGAGCTTAAAACCGTTGCTCCTAGTTTGTGTTACATTTGACCTGAAGAAAATATCTGGATCAACATCATCTAACTTGTTCAGTATTTTAAAAGTTTCAATGAGATCCACCCTATCATGCAGTGTTGTTTAGCCCTAGTGTAGTTTAGTGTAAGGTCCCCCTAGGCTAACTGCTGATCTAACATAAGATGCAACCCACAACAAGGCTGTGGCCTTTAAGCGTTCCTGATACGAGAGATGACTTAGCTCTGGAATGACTTGTTGCCCCGGTGTTGCACCTTCTCCAGAGCAGCTATGTCCTGAAAATGAGGTCTCTATGCTTGGATACAGTAATCTAAGTGAAAAAGCACCAGAGATTTATACAGTTAAACCATTACCTTCATTTCCTTATGGTCAAAAGTACGCTTGATTATCCCAAGAGTTTCGTTAGCTTTTCTGACTGCTGCACCCACCTGTTGTGTAACTTTTAATGAGTGGTGGATCATGACTCAAGGTCCCTTTCTTCATCAATCTTTAATGTAATGCTATTAATTAGGTAGTCATGGCGTGGGTTGTTATGCCCCACATGGAGGGCTCTTGCATTTGCTGATATTAAAAATCATTTGCCAGTCTTCTGACCATTTGTGGAGTTCATGTGGATCTCTTTGTAAGGCTTCAGTATTGTTATCACTTCCTACATTACCATAAATCTTTGTGTCATCTGCAAATTTGATGATGTGGTTTGTAATATTCCCGTTTATGTCATTATTATACAAATGACAAAAATGGTAGGTCCCAAAATGGACTTTTGTGGCACCTCACTTAACACATTTTTCCATTCCGATTCGTTTACATTTAGCAGCCCCCTTTTTCTTCTTTCCTTCAACCACGGTTTTATCCATTCTAACATTTTACCATTTATTCCATGGGCCTGTAATTTTCTTGCCAGTCTTTCATATGGTACCTTATCAAAAGCTTTAGCAAAATCCATGGATACGATACTACATCCACCAGAAGGGCTTTGAGTAGCAGATTACCTTTTCCAAAAATGTAAGCAAATTTGTTAGGATGATCTGTTTTTAATAAATTCACGTTGTGATAATTGTACAAGGTTGTTCACTGAAAGATGGTGAATAACTTCCTCCCTGAGGATTCTCTATGAGCTTGCAGATGTGGGATGTCAAGCTGATCGGCCGGTAGTTTTCTGCTGAACTCTTTCTGCCTTTTTTGAAGACAGGGGTAACATTTGCATATTTCCAATCTAGAGGCATTACCCCTTGGTCCAGGGATTTTGTGAAAAGTAGTTTCTGTGGTAGTAATAGTTCTACTGCCAATTCCTTTAAGACTTTGGTCTTAAAGGAATTGGATTCCATCCACACCTGGGGCTTTAGAGTCTTTTAGTTTGTCAATGCTCTTTCTTATTATTTTGCAAGTTACAAGTATATCCCTAAATTCATTCTCCTCCCCTCCTTCAAATTTTTTTTTTTTTTTTTTAGATATACTGTATACTAGAGTTGTTACATTTTTGTACAGCCACTAGTACGCATAGAGTTTCAGGCAAGTCCCTGGAATACGATCCCCGCCGTGAAGAATAGTTTTTACAACCAAGTACACATTTTACTGTTGAGTTAGGCTACAGCTAAGGATTTGCGCCCAGTAAATTCTCCCCGGCCAGGATACGAACCCATGACAAAGCGCTCGAGGAACGCCAGGCGAGTGTCTTACCACTACATCACGGAGACTGAAGACATCAAATTTGCATTATTATATCCAAGCATGGAGACTTCATCTTCATAAGTCATATATGCTTTAGAGAAAGTCCAACACCAGGTGACATGAATCATTCCTGAACAAAGTCAACTCCCATACCAGGAGCGATTAAGGGCCACAGGACTAACAACACTGCAAATCAGACATGACAAGGATGATTACATCAAAAATTTTAAAATATTGAATAACTTACAATAATAATTTTTATTTGCAAGAAGTATAATGGGTTGGTGAGATTACATAAGACTGGTATTTTTACATTCATAAAATTAGGTACTTTTTGGTATTACCTTTGAACAGTGGATGGGTTGTACAATGTTTTAATTCATCAGGGAGTGAGTTCCAAAGACTGGGCCCTTTTATTTGCAGGGAGTGTTTGCACAGATTTAGTCTGACTGGGGATATCAAACATATATTTATTTCTGGTGTGGTACACATGAGTTCTGTTACACCTATGAAGGAAAAGTTTCAGTTCAAGATTAGCATTTAGGAACAAGGTTTTGTACATGTAGATAGCACATAAGAATATGTGGAGTGAGTGTATATTTAGCATGTTAACCCTTTAACTGCGCGGCCTATAAATATGACCCCCCCCCAGTGCGCAGGAAATGAAACCTCAGGAAAAAATTATTTTTTCTTCTGAAAGTGTCAAAAACCCCTCCCTGTTATTGGGTATAGCAACGGAAGTTCGAAATTCTACTTACTTTGGCTGCTATATGGGGTCCGAAAGGTGGGGCGTGACCTCATCATTCCCCGTGCGCCAGAGCAGTATGCTCCCGGGGCCGGTGGGGCGCGCGAGTTGCTGCAAATATATTTTTGTTCATTTTTTGTGCACAGTTCCAAATACATTTTATTTGTTTTTACGTGCTAATCCTATGTATAATGAACACGTACACTACATGCAGTAAAACATCCGTACTGTCTGAGGACACTGTTACATGCATGACACTTGTATACACATATGTTGCACATATTTACCATGAATCATGCTAATTTATGTATATATAAGTCTATTTACAGACTATACATTGTCACACACTATATATATTCACCATCAACACAGAACACCGCGAGTGTGAGCAGCCACACCCAGCCAGCCCTCCCTCACTCCAACATCTTATACTCGCCAAAATTGCTCCTCCCACCATTCTGTTATTGTTCTTATTACACTAATTACACATGTTTTATATACCTATCTACATGTTCTATTTACCAGAACTATGCAAGTAAGCCAGTATTATGTCCAAACAGTACAGTGGCCACCATACACTGCATGACAAATCACACAGCAGACAGCAGACGACGCCACAATTACGACGTCACCTCTCTCACCAAAATAGCTCCTCACAACATACTCCTGGTGCTGTTATTACACTATTCACATACACTGTATATACCCATGTACATGTGTGTTCCCCATAGCGAACCACGAAGCAAGTACGGTGAGCAAAACAAGAGTTACTGCCACACAGTGAGGCTACCTCAATTCAGATTCAGATTCAGATTCAGATGTTTATTCAGGTAAGGTATATACATACAAGTGATGTTACATTAATGGATTGATATATAGATAGAGCTAGTACATACAATGCCTAAATTCTCTCCCTTCCTCCCTCCCTCACCAAAATTCCTCCTTCCTATACGCACAACGCTAATTATAACCACAATTCTGGTCACTAATACCTGTAAATGAATAATTGACCACAAGTTTATTTTGAAAAGGAACCTAAAAAGTCGTTTGAAGATTCCTAGATGGACGAAATAATGCTGTGGCGCTGTGAACTTCGTGAACAGCATTGAATCACTGATATTTGAACATTGTACCCAGTCATTATCACACTCGGGCTCTTCTATAATATTATCATGGCTAAATAAAACAGATTATATATATATTTTGACAATATTAGGCGATGCTGTGGTCACACGCTCAACAGCAGTGCTGTGCGCTCATGCTGTGAGCGCCAGCCTTGGTTGCTCACTCACTACTTGAGGCTCTGACACCCTGCAATGTGGACCATGATTTTTTTTTAAGATGGCGTCTGTTGTTGTTGTGTTGATTTAGGGGCGACGACGATCGAATGGCGTCTGTTTACAAGAGCCCTGAGGAAGCTGATGTGAACTCCATGTAGCCGCAGGAGATTTGAATGGAACGTGAAAAATAAAAACACCCGGAGGCGCGTTGCGCACCCGAAGCCTGGGCCTGCAGGCGCATTGCCCAGTTAAAGGGTTAAGGGACTTAACAGAGATGCTGTGTGTTGTCTGAAGACAGAGATTGTTATACTGTAGTTCTGATAGATTTTTTGCTGAGTGATGAGAGGCTTGAGGTAATTTGCAGTGATTGAACCCCCTGCACAGATACCGTATGTAAGATAAGAGGATATTAATCTTGGATATTGATATTGAAAACTTGGAGGAAATTGATCCAGATCACTTATTCAAAAGTTCAGATGTAACAAGGACAAGGGGCAATGGATTTAAGTTCAACAAGCCACAATGTTGGACAGAAAATGGGAGATCCTTTTTGTTATGTAGTTCAGGCTACAGGGACCCCATGTAGCCTGGTGGAACGAGTCTACCCAGTGAGAATTATTCTGCTTTCCGGACCCAAGATTGAAAAGTCAGAGTAAAGATGTATATATTAAATAATTGAATAAACGTCATTGAGTAATCTAAGAATACGAGCAGAGGATGAGCGTCTGATTAAAAATGACATGAAATGACATCTCGATACTTTATGACGTTACATGATGCTAGCAGGACATCGTGACTTTACTCGAGTTACA